GAGGGAATGCCTACAGGTGGCATGCCTACGGATTTTCTTCCTCTAAAAACTACGTGCGTGTTATGGTCGGGTGCGTGTTATAGAGTGAAAAATACGGTAATTCACATACCATGATTTTTCGACCAGGCTTGCATATCGAGTTGCTACAGTTCCCAGTGTGATTTAACAACCCATCTCTTTTTCCAGTGGACTCTGGGAATTGTAGCCCTGTGTGGGGAAGGTGGTCTCCTAAGAACTCCCAGCACCTTTAACAAACTGCAGCCCCCAGAATTCTTTGGCATAAACCATGAGCGTTTAAAGGGGTATCATAGTGTTTAAAATGTATGGTGTGAGGGGGTTTTGCAGGGCCAATTTAGAAAAATTGAGTTCCCAGAAAGATCATTCCTGTTCTTGCTGCATTTAAAGCCCAGTTAATTTGGTTTTGGAACTTGCACCATCCCTAGGAAAAAGCCTATCTAAAAATATCCAACAATATTAAAATATTAATCTATACAAACCCATGCAACCTCCAAGTTAGATTTGGTAAGTGGCTTCCTGCATTGTCCTTGCTACTGCAGTCTTGCTTCAGTGATCCTACCTCCCTGTCCATATATCCACATTCTTCTCCCCAACTTTTCATTTTCTGCATAAGATCACACTGTAGGTCATTTGTGAATTGTGCCGATTAGGGTTGGACGGATCTGTCCCGTTTGATTTCCTTGTTTTTCCAATCTCTTGTTCTCCACATTTCTGCATCAGTTTATTTATTTATTTTGAAAAGGTCCTCTCAATTTCATGAATAAGGAAGCCCTAAATATATGGTTTAAAGTCCTTTACCACGGGAGTTTAGTTCCCTTTTATTAGAGAAATGAAAAAGACTCATTAAAATGTCTAATATATACTTGCTCTCTCCACCCCTTTTGAGCATGCAAGCATCTTCATAGCCACATATCTGTCAGTGATTTGCCCTGACTAATTTTAAATGACTTTAATTATGGAGACTGGGCAATTTCCCTAGGGACATTATTTCCATAACCGTATGCTTCCTCACAATGAGATTTTATCCCCCCCCCTGCCCCAATCACAGATCTTTTTCTTCTTGCTGCTTCTTTTAATTGGAAATTCTTCTCTGTTCTTCCCTCAGCCGTTAGAAGACTGCCAGGGGCAAGTTATATTAATAGCTCCTGCGTGTTTCAGAATGGGTAACTCAATTGGCTCACTCCTCCCTTCGTACTGAACTGTCTCTCTCCTGCTTGACTGTGACTTGAACTGTACTTTCATCCCAAACCAAAAGAAAACAAAAGGAAAAACTTGGCTTCCCCCTGTAGTACACTGCATCTGTGTGGTTGCTACCCCTGGGAAGAAAAAACAATACACAAAGGACAACATTCAACACTGGTTGTGTACAGAGTTTTAATTTTTCTGGTTCACGGGAAGTTTAGGTGACAGGGGAAATGAAGGGTGAAGCCTGCAACAACTCTTGTTTTATCTCTGTCCTGAGCAACAAGGAAAGGAGGGGAGTAAGAAAATTTCAGTAGCTATGTTGCATGGTCTGTACAGCATGCCTAGCCGTACCACAATAAGTGGTGGCTACAAACACTATCTTCAGTTCTTGCACTCACAGGGGGTTGTACTGCATGACCTTTAAAGTTTCTATTAACTCTACAATTTATTTTGATTATTATGTATTGGATTTCTTACCATATATCCAATTTCTTCACCATAATGTCCCAGGCCAGGTTACAACAAGCTTGTTCCCTCTTCCACGTGACAGGCCTTGAGATATTCATATCATATCTCCTCTCAATCTCCACTTTTCCAAGCCAAACATATCCAGCTCCTTCAACTGTTCCTCATCAGGCTTGGTTTCCAGACCCTTGATCACCTTGCCTCTGCACACATTCCAGTTTGTCAACATCCTTCCTAAATTGTGGTGCCCAGAATTGGACACAGTATTCTAGGTGTGGTCTGACCAAGGCAGAATAAAGAAGGACTATTGTTTCCTTGAACTGAACACTATACTTCTGTTGATGCAGCCTAGAAAAGCATTAGCTTTTTTTTTTTTTTTTGCTGCTGCATCACACTGTTGACTCATGTTAAGCTTGGGGTCCATCAAGATCCCTAGATCTTTTTCACATGTACTGCTAGTAAGCCAGGTGTTCCCCATATTTTATTTGTGCATCTGGTTCGTCCTCCCTAAGTGCAGAACCTTACTTTTGTCCCTACTGAAGCACTTTCAATTATAAAAATGCTGTTCTGGCTGTTTGTGTGCCAGTATTGGCACTTTCCTTAATGTGTCTGGGCTAATAGCTTTTTCTGATCCAGTTCTGTTAGCTCCACATGTTAAAGCTCTGCTAGTCAACACAATCCCATACTTTCAATCCTTTGTTATTGTATGTAGAGCTGTATTTATTAGTGGCTTTACCTAAGATAACCTTGTTCATGTAGAGAGTGATTGTTTTGATAATGGTTACTGTAGCAGGAACCCCCCCCCCCAATCATTCTGCTTGTACAAACTTCATACACACACACACTCACACACTACATACGCCACATTTCTGTTATAAATTCATAGAAAATCAACCATACATCGGATTTGCACTGTTCCATTTTTATTTTACTCCATATGACAAGAACTAACAGAGGGGGGTGGCTTAGTCCTGGTCAGCCATAATCCCTCCACCATCTCAGCACATCTCAGCACATCTGCAGGAGCCCTGCCCAGATGATCCCAGACAGAAGGCAATCAAGATCACAAAGAACTTGCATATGGGAGTGGATTCAGCATGGACTGAAACAAAGAACAATGATCAGATCTTCCCTCAGGGGACAGGAAACTGCAAACTCCCCTTTGTCTCCTGGAAGTGACTCATGGGGAGGGGGTAAAGGAGGAACCAGCCAGGTGACAAGATACTCAGGTTACCACCAACTCCTCCCTCAACCCCTCCTTTCTGTAATATATGCATGATGTTTCTGGGGGGTGGGCTTGACCTAGAGGAGGGGAATTTCAAAAGTTTTTATAAGACCTGGCACACTATTTTTCTGGGTCTTTCCTCTCTCCTGCAAGTGAGGGGAACACCCTGATGCATCAGTTCAATAAAGGCCAAGCCTACAGGCTACTGTTTTGCTCCAAGTTATCCTGATTGGTGTCTTTGTTTTGTCCAAGGGAGCCCTCGGATTTTTCCGGCAACATTACTTGCCAGTGTTTCTTAATTTTGCTAGGACAAAATTATGTGCATCTAGCAGAATATTTCCTGACAGTTGGGGATCAAATGATTTGCAAATCAAACAAATATTTACATACTTGGCCATCTTTAATCACACAGCTGTAAGACTGCTCACAAGGCAGCAATGTTCATGTGGAAATGGCTACAGGATTTGTACCCTTCTGATTTTATTTGTGTATAAATTTAAAAGACCACTTTCTACAGCATATTTGAGGCAACATACAAATATAGTAGTACCTCTGGATGCGAACGGGATCCATTCCGGAGCCCCGTTCGCATCCTGAAACGAACGCAACCCACGTCTGTGTGTTGCGATTCGCCGCTTCTACGCATGCGCATGACATCATTTTGAGCATCTGCGCATGAGCAAGCAGCAAAATCCGGAAGTAACGCATTCCGTTACTTCCAGGTCGCCCCAGAGCGTAACCTGAAAACGCACAACCTGAAGCGACTTCAACCCGAGGTATGACTGTAAACATACCCGACAGGAATAAAAATAATAAAACAATTAAGATGACAATAAAAAATGGGGGAAATCCATTGTGTCCAATGGACAGCAGAGTTCAGACATGATGGTAACCCATGATTAATCAAAAACAAATGAAATTTGTGTGCACGCCATCATCTAGCCTTTCTGCAACAGCTAAGTCAAACTTTTAAAGCAGATCCAACTCACATATGAAGCACATGGCTTTCCCACAAAGAATGCTGGGAACTGTAGTTATGGAACATGGGAATTGTTGCCTTGTGAGGAAGCTACACACCCCATAATTTTTTGATGGAAAGTCATGTGCTTTCAACCCATGTCAGATGTGCTTTAAATATTTCTTATTAAGATTTGACGGTGCTACACTCCTAGAAGGAAAGGGGTATGCGTGTGTCCGCAGAGGGACACGGGTGGCGTTGTGGGTTAAACCACAGAGCCTAGGACTTGCCGATCAGAAGGTCAGCGGTTCGAATCCCCGCGATGGGGTGAGCTCCTGTTGCTCGGTCCCTGCTCCTGCCAACCTAGCATTTCAAAAGCACGTCAAAGTGCAAGTAGATAAATAGGTACCACTCCGGCGGGAAGGTAAATGGCATTTCCGTGTGCTGCTCTGGTTTGCCAGAAGCGGCTCAGTCATGCTGGCCACATGACCTGGAAGCTGTACGCCAGCTCCCTCGGCCAATAAAGTGAGATGAGCGCCGCAACCCCAGAGTCGGCCACGACTGGACCTAATGGTCAGCGGTCCCTTTACCTTTATGCGTGTGTCCCTTAATGAAACATACAAGCTTTGCTTCTTGACTCTCCACAATTTTAGCCAAATCTTAGCACCCTGTAGCTTCCTGGACCAGCAGGTTAAGGAAGGCCAGGCCTCCCTCCTCGGCCCCAGCAATTTAAGCACCGAGTTCTTTCCAACTAGGGTCTTTCCAACTTATCCACCGGTTACTTGGAAACAATTCCCATTTAACCACGTGGGACTTAGCTCCTGAATAAACATGCACAGGATCCGGGATGTATTGGTGTGTAGGTGGCTGCAGCCTTACAAAGCTGGACCCAAGCCCCGCTCCCACGTGACTCTGAGCAACGGTCCTTCTCGCGCGCCGACCTTTACCGCCAGCCGTTACTCACACCATCCCACCCCCCGTCGCGCGCGCGCCTTCTCTTCTCCCAAATTCAGCTCAGGGGAAACTAGCGGCTTCACCCTCGCGGAAGGCGCATGCTCCCCCCCGCCTCCGTCCGCGCATGCCCGGTAGGGAAGCGGAGGCGCCAAGAACTCTGATAGGGTGGGGAGGGGGAGGGAAAAGGAAAATTCTAAACCGACGGCCGCCGCCATATTGCGGAGCTGTCAGCGGCCACTTTCTGGCGCGTCTCCGGCAGCGAAGCTGTAGCAGCACCAGCGAGGCCCTGACGGAGAGGAGGAGGGACGGGAGCGAGAGCGCGCACGGGAGCGCGCACCTCAGCCACGCTCGGAGCGGCCCTGCAGCGCCTCCTGGCCGGCTGCGGAGGGGGCTGCGCGGGCGCCGTCGTGGTGGTGGTGGTGCGTGTGTGGCTCCCCGTCTCCCACCTCCGGCCCCGCCGCCGCTTGGGACCCAATCCTCTTTCCTGGAAGCAGAGAGGAAGAGGAAAGCGAAGAGTTCGCCGCCCCCGGGCTGCCTCAGCCTCCGCAGCCGCCAGGTGAGGGAGAACAGCGGGCTACTTTTCGGCCGACCCCGGCGGTGCTGCTTTGCCAGGCCTCGCCCTTTCCCCCTCGCGCTCCCTCGCTTCATCTTCACGTCTCACACCTGGGGGGCAGAAGCTGAGGGAAGACGCCCCCTCCACCCTCACCCCCTCCCGGCGCGCACTAGCGGCTCCTGCGCAAGCTTAACGGGGATGTGGGCGGTGGGAATCGTAGTTCCGAAATACTGTTTATGTATGTATCTGAGGGAGAGAGAAACTCTTCGCTTCCCTTCGCCCCCCTCAGCAGCGATTATTCCTCGTCTCTCTCTCGCCCCCCCCCCACCCGACAGCGATCCAGCTCACTCCCCGCCCCCCCAAAAGGTATTTCCTTCCGCGGGGACTCCCGACTCCTTCTCCGCTTCTCCGCCTTTTTCTTCTCCACCCGCCCACTCCCCTCAGCCCCTGAGGAAGGAAGGAAGGAAGGAAGGAAGGGCTGGTGTGAGAGGGTCACTGGTCCGGGAAGGCGTAATTGTTCCATATAAGTGTGTGTATATGTGTATGCATGTATATGTCTTTATATGCATATATATGCGTGTGTGCGCGCGCGTATATATGTGTGTGTGTACATACACACAGAAGGTTAGTGTCATATGCTGCAGGCTGCCTCTAATGTTTACATTTCCAACTATACGGCATTTTACAAGACCACCTTCGCTGCTGCTGATTTATTTCCTTTGTTAGCAAAAAAAGGGAAAGGGCAGGCAGAGCAGCCCGGAGCGTGTTTACTCTGTAGTAACCTCCCGCTCCCACAAACGCACGCAATCTCAATAGGGTTTACGATCCCTGCCTGCTTAGCGCTGCTTGAGGGTTGCAGCCGAACAACCTGAATTTAAGCACGTTTGCGTGGAATTAATTTCTGTTGGATATGCTTGGCTTAAGGGCAGGCTGTACAATCCGGAGCTGGGGAGAAAGTTGCATCTCGGAAGTCAGTTGTGGGATCGGGCTGCAAGTCTTTTAACACCCCAGGCTTAATGCACATCTGCTTGTAAGGAAGCTCTGTTGGAATTATTTGCGGGGCTTATTTCCCAGTTAAGCTTGTTTAGCAAATTGCTGTACGAGAATAATCGAGTGTCGTCGTCGTCGTCCCCGTCGCCCCCCCCCCGACCGCATGTGTAGTAATAGTGGTCGGTATTATTGGGGAGAGAATAGAAGAGATGGGGCGGAAATGGGGATTGAACTTGAAGCTTCTTCTGTCATGCGGCTCAGCTACTTGTTGCGAACGGGGACGAGTACATTTTTAACACGTTCCTCATGTCGGCAGCTGCCAAACTTCTACCCAACCCCTTGCCTGTCACCGTTTCAGGAGGAGGGGGAAAGTCCATAGAAGCATGCAGCAGCTGAAGGAAATGGTGACTGCTGGAGCGCTGCAGAGTCAGAAATGATCACCAGGCTCCATATGCCCCCTTTGCCCCCCTTATTCTTCCCATTCTTCCCAGTACAGGTTGAAATTTGGATCCTAGAATCAGACCTCAGCTAGCTTCCAGTTGACCAAGAATCTGGAGAACTTGAAAGTATTCCAGATTGAAGTGGGGATGATGAAGCATTTTAAAAGTAATTAAAAGCAAAAGTTCTGCAAAATCCAACACAAACAGAATTTTAGGCACAGTATAGCTCACCCATGCGCCAATCATGTGTTCATGATAAAAGCACCCATAATAGACAAATAAAGAATGACATCATATGAAACTGATCCAAAGACTGATGCTGTCCATTGTTGAAAACAAATCTACTTTTTCGTGTTTTTTGGCTTTTTAATGTATTGATTTACATAACGAGCACAATAATTGTATTGTGAGTTATTTGGGTCAGTGTTTAATGCAAATCTCCTTTATGGTGGTAAGCTTATGAACAAAGTAATTAAAGTTAAAAGTTAAGGCTTGAGAACTTTGGCTGTAATTCTCCACATTGGCTGCCTAAGTCCCTTTGACTTCAGTGCTTGCAGTGCTGCAGAGCTTTAAGACTGCAATTCCCTTATTAAGAACAAGTGAGCATCAGTACTGGATCAGATCATGGGGCAATGTAGATGATATGGTGGCGCTGTGGGTTAAACCACAGAGCCTAGGACTTGCCGATCAGAAGGTCGGTGGTTCGAATCCCCGCGACGGGGTGAGCTCCCGTTGCTCGGTCCCTGCTCCTGCCAACCTAGCAGTCCGAAACCACGTCAAAGTGCAAGTAGATAAATAGGATACTGCTCTGGCGGGAAGGTAAACGGCATTTCCGTGCGCTGCTCTGGTTTGCCAGAAGCGGCTTAGTCATGCTGGCCACATGACCCGGAAGCTGTACGCCAGCTCCCTCGGCAATAAAGCGAGATGAGCACTGCAACCCCAGAGTCAGCCACGACTGGACCTAATGGTCAGGGGTCCCTTTACCTTTACTATATAGTGTGCCTGCTTTTTGTTATTTAAATAGCAGTTGGGAGGAGTGTAAGGATTGGTAAGTAAGCATGGAGTTTAAACCCTTTCCTCCTGTATCATGCCCCCCCATCAGCCCCTTCAACTGCTGTTGATACTTACATTGATTTATTTGTGAAGACCCCAGTTCAGATCCCATTAGTATTTATGTGGTTAGTGTATTTTGCCTCAGTACACCTCACTTTACAAATTGTTTTGCTATTTTGTTGCCCATTCACCCAGCTTGAAGAGATTGTTTTGGAGTTCCTCACTGACTGCTTGGTCTTCACTGTCCTGAGTTATTTGTTTTCACCTATAAATCTCTGTTTTCAAATAGCTTATGAATGTGTTAAATAGCACCAGTTCCAGTGCTTCTTGGGAGACCCCAGTGCTTGCTTCACTCCATTGTCTGATTTTTCCTGCCTTTGCTCTGAAGTTTACAAAGGCATCTTTGGTGAGGAACTTCAAAGCTTTGTAGAAGTCTTATAGTCATGTTTACAAGACTACTCCTGGTCCCATGTTATTTATTATACTTCTTGCCTGCCCTTCACTGTGAGGTCCCAGGGCAAGTTACCGCAATTTAACAACAGGATATTAAAAACAGCTAAAACAAATAACAGAAGAACAGTAAAAAGAATAAGGGTGGATCTTAAAATAGATATATTGGATTTCAAAGGCCCAGGTAGACATACTAAAAGTATTCTAAAAGTCTGTCAGGCATGATTTTGTTTGCAGAAAGCTGATCCTTGTCAGTGTAATAAAGGTTTCTTCAGGGCACTTTGCATGTGGTGCCTCTGTAGAAGGTCTTAACAATTTTTGTTCTACATACCGTATTTACTCAAATCTAATGCTCACCTTTTTTTGGTCAAATTATGTTGCAAAAATTAAGGTGTGCATTAGATTTGATGGCACATTTACTTTTGCCAACAAATACGGTACTTTTTTGGGTTTCAAAGTTCAGAAAAATGAGGTAAAATTGGGAATATAAAATATTTTTCTTATTCTGGTTAAGAAAACATAGTTTGTAGGAGTCCAGAGTAAGGAATTGAAGAAAATGAGCTACCAGCACTAATTTGCTGAGTAGCCAAGTGATGCAGTCTTAATATGCTTAACCTTCCTCATTCATAAACAGAACCTGGTTTATAATTTTATATTATGTAACAGATTTTAATGAGCCTTTTGTGAAGTACTATATCAATCTGAAGCTGGTTTGGAGAACCTTTTTCAACCTGAGAGCTGCTTTGAGGGGGACATGGGGGGGGGAGGGAGAGAGCTGCATTCCTGTGGTAGGTTTAGCCAGAGAGGTGAAAGTGGATGCAGCAATGGATGTGAGTCTGACTTTTGTACAGAGACCATCCTACAGGCAGGCATTGGCCAGAGGTTTATACACACCCACCCTTATGACAAAAAGGGGGGGAAATTGCGGGCAAGGGTTCCCTTTCTGTGTACCTGGCCATTCTGAAGTTTGATTTTGTGTATCTGATGGCATATTTGGTATGAAGGCAGGAGTGTAAGTAGAATAAATACTAAAATAGAGAAGAAAACCATTTTGGTCTAGTTCTTGGTTCTGATCCTGCCCATTTGTGACAGTGAGTGAGATTTACTGGATGTGTGTTGTCTGCTTTTTGAACCCAAGTCTGTAGCATGAGACAGAGTATCTTTCTTGTCCTTCCTGGAGGCAAGTTAGCAAAGTTTGCTGATGACACCAAGTTGTTTGGGATAGTTGCAATCCTTCAAATACCACAAATTGCAAAAAGAACCAAATAAATTCTCTACATAAAGTTGTTCTCAAGTTTTTAAAATACAGGTTTTGGCAAACTACCCTCTCTGATTGAGTAAAAGAGGTTTGATTTTTTCCCCTTTTGCTAGAATGAAACTGCAGTCACATCTCTTCTAGACTGTTTTTCCAGTGCATCTTCAGCTAGATCCCCCATCTTGTGTGTTTTTTAAAAAAACACCTATAATAGTAATAATAATTTTATTATTTATACCCCGCCCATTTGGCTGGGTTTCCCCAACCACATTGGGTGGCTCCTAACAGAATATTAAAAACACGATAAAACATAGACATATTGTGGTGACCATAACAAAAAGGCGCCATTTGGTTTCTAGCTTTTATATCTCAGTTTTTAACATTGATTGTCGTTTTTATGGCAGGCAGTGCAACATCCATTTTTTAATGTTGTGTTTATTGTAGGTATGTGTTTGTTTTTTTGCTTAAGATATTGTATGTTGCTTTGAGTTGCCGTGACAAAAAAGTGATTAATAACTTTAATAAATAATAATACTAAAACAATTTATTAGCCTTCCCATGCTCATGAATATTTAAGATAAAAAAAGATTCAACAGACATAAAATGGTTGTCTTTTATAAATAATAGGCTTTTGGCAAACATTATTTGGAAATGTCTATTAAAAATAGCATTTTCTGTAGTTTGTAAAATGACAGCTGATGAAGAGTTCAAGGGCAGAGGAATGGATTTTCTGCCTTGATTATAAGATGCTGCATCCTTACATCCACAATGTGTAGTGGATTGAATACATATAATGTAGGTCAATCTTCCCCCAAGCTGGTGCCCTCCTGATGTGTTGGTCTACAGTGACCATCAGCACCCCCATTAGCATGGCCATTGGGTAGGAATAATAGGAGTTGTAGATCAAAGCATCTTGCAGACATTAGGTTGTGGAAGGTTATGGTAGAGCAAGGCACATTGTACAAGCTGGATATAGACACTTGAATATGATGATCCACTAACTCAACAGTTTATTCCCATCACTTGTAAGACAGTTAAGACTGGGGTTGGGATGGGTGTGGTGGGGGAAGAAATCTGCTTCTGTAGCCTGTCTGGCGTAGTGGCTGTCAAAGTGTTTGGTATTGGATTTGTTTAGTTTTTATTAACATTAATTTGGAAGCTCCCTGTGTGATTTTCAAAACTGAAAGATGGCATATAAATGTTCTAAATAACTGCTATTATACTTAAGTAATAAGTAGATAGTGTAGATTTCCGGAAATACCATAGAATTCTTCCAGCAGCCTTTGCGTTTAATCTTTACGTGGATCTCTCCAGCTTCAAACAAAGAAATAATAATTTGTTTTGGTGCTCACAAGCAAAATGTTAGGACCAAGTGCCAACTGTAAAGACTAGAATTTTCTCTTTGTACATGTCTAATTAAGCACAGTCTTCTGAAATTTTCATGCACCAATTAGTTCCTCTCCTTCCATGTAAAATCAATGTAGCTATGCAAAGCAGATGCATATGTATATACTTAACAGCATATTGAACATTTATAGTATTAATAGGCCATTTATCTTATTAGTGAAATATGAACTGCATGTAGTTATAAATAATTACTTTGTTTCAACAGAAAAGTACAAGGATTGTGGTACAGCAGATGATTTAACTGAACCAGAAACACAGAAAAGGGGGGAAAATGCCGAAACCAGTAAGTAATCTATTTCTTGTACTTGATCGGCTTTCAGCTCAGTGTGTTGTCTGCTACTCGTAGCAGATGTTTTTGTAAGGTAATAATCAGTGGTATTTTTCTAGAAAAAGAGGTGTCGGAACTCACAATGAACGCCTCCCTTATACAGTGGTACCTCTGGTTGTGAACGGGATCCATTCCGGAGGTCCGTTCACAATGTGAAAAGCCCGCAACCTGAAGTGCCGTATCTGCGCAGGTGCGCGGCGCAATTTGGCTCTTTCGCGATTTAGCGCTACTGCGCATGCCCGAGCGACGAAACCCAGAAGTAACCCTTTCCCTTACTTCCAGGTTGCCGCGGCATGCAACCTGAAAAAAACGTAACGTGAAGCTAACATAACGTGAGGTATGACTGTAATGGCAATGGCACCCACCTGAGAAGTGCCAGAACTCAGCTCCAGTGAGTTCCGGGTGAAAAAAAGCTCTGCTAATAATTACTATTAATTACTGCTGCTGATATCTTTTCTCTCAGTTGATATATAGAAACATCATAGGAGACTTCCAAAGGGAGGCTGTAATCATAGAATTGTAGAATTGGAAGGTACCCTGAAGGTCTCCAGTCCAACCTGCTACAATGCAGGAATCTCAGCTAGATCATACATGACAGATGGCTGCCCAACCTCTACTTAAAAAGCTCCATGGAAGGAGAGTCCACTACCTCTTGTGGGAATCTGTTCCATGGTCGAACAGCTCTTACTGTCAGAAAGTTCTTCTTGATATTTAGTCGGAATCTCCTTGGTTCAGGTCCTAGCTTCTGGAGCAGGAGAAAACAAACTTGCTCCATCTTCCATGTGACAACCCTATAGATATAGGAGAAGGGCTATCATAGCTCCTCTCAGTCTCCTCTTTACCATGCTAAACATGCAGTCACAAACCAGATGACTATGGGAAGCCTGCGAGAAGGCACTGAACTTAATGATGCATGGATCTGTGTATGTTTTGTTTGGTTTTCTAAATGATTAGCTCTTGGTCAAGATTGTGTGAGAGGGAAAATTATTATTTATTGAGACATAATTTTCTGTAGCTATGGGGTGGTGGTCAATTAAATCTTACTTAGGTCCATTAATTTCAATAGGTATACAGTACTAACTTAGTCACACTTATTTACTTTAATATGTCTGCCCCGTGTAAAACTTATTTTATTACCACACTATGTAATCTGATGAAAAACTACCGTATTTTTCGCTCTATAAGACGCACCAGACCACAAGACGCACTTAGTTTTTGGAGGAGGAAAACAAGAAAAAATATATTCTGAATCTCAGAAGCCAGAACAGCAAGAGGGATCGCTGCGCAGTGAAAGCAGCAATCCCTCTTGCTGTTCTGGCTTCTGGGATAGCTGCGCAGCCTGCATTCGCTCCATAAGACGCACACACATTTCCCCTTACTTTTTAGGAGGGAAAAAGTGAGTCTTATAGAGCAAAAAATACAGTACTTGGTATTTTGCAACTACTTCCTATGAGTGCTGCTTCTTGGCATTGTTTCTGATACCTATTTTTTGTTTCTACGTTTGCTTACGTGCAAGTCTGGTTTGATAATATTCTTCCATGCCTATGGCCTTGAATAACCCATTCTGACTGCAGCTTCATTTTCTATATATTTAAAAGGCAGTTGAACAATATTATTGTCTGGGTGCCATAAAGGCACTTTTGTTCTAATCTGTAGCTATAAAGGAGTCTTGCTGTTGTGTAGAGTACAGTCTTGTTTTGTTTTCCTTATTTAAGCGTATATTCAAATATAGTGAGCTAGTTTAGAAAGACTTGTATTCAACCAGATGAACTGCAGTGATGATGCATGGATCTGTGATGAAGACTGCTGCAGAAAATGCGTAGCTTAGAGAGTAACACTAGTAGCACTTCCAGAGTGCAATGAAGTGTGCCGCTTTCATGAGTATGGTGGGTTGTAACAGCTGCACATTTGATAATCTTTTACAGTTTGTGTGTGCCTGCATAAGATACAATCTTTTCCTGATCTGCTTTCCTACCTAGCATCATTTAGAGCTGGGGTGGGGGATATCTTTTGGTCTGAGCGCTGTATTCCCTTGTGGTCAACCATTCAGGGAGGGGGCCCGTGCCAGTGGTAGGTGGGACAAGAAGCAAGAGCAGGTTAACTTTGTACTGTAGGCAGTGGTGATTGGTAACATTCTGACTTGGTAGGGCTGTAATTTTTAACCTTGCTGTTTTCATCACAATGATTTTCAGACAAGAGTAACTCCATGCCTCTTGTTTAAAAATTAAGCCATACCACATAATATCAGTTTTTTAATTCATGTATTGATTACACCTACACATCCATTGTAAAAAACAATAACACCTAAACACACAAATGTGTTAAAAATGTGAGGAACGCTTGCTTTCAGTTGCATTCGGTTTCCTCCCAGTCAATTTAAGTTTTTATAATCTAAAACAATTTTTCTCTAGATTAAAATAACACCTCTTCTCTAAATTAAAAGATCAAAGTATTAAATGAATAGACAAAAATGATTGTTTCATTTGAGCAAGTGTACATAAGAATGTACCCTGTAATGCATGGCTCAGTTTCGAAAATGTGAAGTAATAATCTCTGTTCAAGTGCCGAGTACATCACACCAGAATAATCATAATCAGCCTCTTATATCTGACATTAGGGAGAATATCTTCCAGGTTTAGGAAATGAAGTGAAGTCAGTGTGATATCCAGAGAGGCATAGAGCCCAAACCTTTCATTTTAGAAATACCGTACACTCACAAACTCACAAAAAGCAAGCAAGAAATAATAGCAGCAGCATTTTCTTTCATTCTACATTCAAGCACATTTGTAATTATTGACAAATAATGTTTCCTTTGCTATTAAAGGAGTATCAGGATTGAGGCTTGAAGGGCTCAATCTTACCTGGCACTATAAGTTAAATAAGTACTTCTGCATTTTCCAAAGGCTTGTACTATTCAGTATATAACTTTTATGTACTAATTCAAAGCAGAATGTTCAGAATCTAAATGTCCTACCACGTGCCTGCATTTTGTGTTTTGTCTGGTATGTTAATCATTTCCGTTTGAGTCTCAACCATACACAAAAAGAATATTTAAAGCACACAGTGCCTTCTGGAATGCATGCATTTAAAATGAGTTCACATTCTCCTTAATACATGCTAATTAAGTCAAACAACCCAGTTATTAAAATTAAAAATCCTTTTCAGCTTTAGCAGTGCATCTGTTTCCAAATACTATGTTACTTGTTCACATTAGATAAGTGTTTATATCAAAATGCATTGCAATTAATGTAAGCCAACAATTAAATGCATCAGTTAATCTAGGATTTCTTATGAATCCTGAAGGCAAAATATCACTCTTTGATAAAATGAATTGCACTAGAAAGTAATAGTGCCAAATATGAAAGATTATTTCGTGTTATAAATATTAGCACACAAGTGTTCATGGGAGAATCATTGGCCTGATTAACACATAACTATGGTTTATTAAGCAATGAGTAAGAGTTATGTCTCAGGCTAGCAGTTTAACTATGGTTTATTAACTATGGTTAAAGGACACTCATTAATCAAGGTTTGTAATTGTGTTATAAACCTTAGTTAAATTTAACAGTAACTTATTGTTATGTTTGAATACATCCCACCTCTTAACTATGGTTAAGGAGTCATCAGCGTTCCAAAGCTACAGAGCCGCAAGTGAAGGGCGACAAAGAATTCAAACCACTCTCAAGGTTCAGCTGCTCTTGTTGCTTTTAACTTTCCTGTGACACAATGAACCAAGGTTTAAGTGATCATCTGTCAGATACCTCAGCTTTAACTATGGTTCCTGCAGTTGTCGAATCTTTTTGTATCTGTGGGCACATTTTGAATTTTGAGAGTATGCTGTTGGCACTAGTCACAGAATGACTGGCCCAGAGGCATGTGATAACACAAAATAGCTGTCATGGTGGGCATGACATAAAACAAAATTAGAGAGTATAGTCATTGGGGAGTTTTCGGCTTAACTATTTCATGCTAGAAAGGACTTTCTGTTTTGAATTTCTTACTTCACTTACAGAAGGGGGCAGCTAGCCTACCTCATTTAATATAGATTACTTATAAGGATATGTGCACATTCTGTTTCGTAACCTTCTTTTTAGGAGGTCTAGATACTTACTATTATTATTTTAAAATGAAAGCTCGGTGTCTGGGGGCCCCCTGCCCAGGGTTGCCAAGGGAGATCAACACAAGCCATGGTGCTTGTGGGTACTGCATTGGTGACCCTTGGTGTATATTAACTACAGGCGGTGACTATTTTAGGTGCGTCCAATTGACACACGATCTCTGACACGCGGGTCCTTTTGGACACGGAAGAGGGCAGAACGGGGGTGTAATGGGGCATAACAGAGGCGGGGCTCAGTGGGGTGAGTGAAGTGCTAAGTGAGATCCACAGCCACTCACTGTCTTAATTTGCACAGAGGCAGTTGCTCAATTTTAGTAGGTTGCAGGTGCAGTGTACTGGGCCCAGAAAATACTGTTGACACCTCATAGCTGTAAGCCCTGATTGCCAGTTTTATTTCCACCCCCCCCCCTGAACATTTGTCTAAATTTGAATCTATATATGTATATGCTTAGCACATGAAAAAGTTTTTGTCATAGGTCTATGCTCCAAAAGTGTTAGAAACAGCAATTCTTCTGTAAAGAGTTCAGAATGGGAGAGCACAGTAGGGCTTTTCTGTGCCCTACCACTGACTTTTGAATGCAGCCTATGGCCTCTGATACATACAGCAAGAGGGTTGTAGTTAAAACCATGAAGGCTCTGAGGTATGCACAATAAAAGGTGTCTTTGGGTCCTGGTAGCAATACTGCTGGGTATTATAAGGTCAGCAAGAAATTCCTATGCTCCTGTCAGAATAGAACAAAATATTTATATCCTCATTACTGTTGTGAGACATTCTGTCGGGTAAGACAGTCAGCTTACAAAGCTTATTTCAAGTCTGCCAAATTAAGTATGACATATCTGTGGTTGTCACTGAAGGAAACCTATTCCGATAACAACAACTGAGAACCATATTGGAGGCTGGGCTTAAAAACTCCCAACATGTTGCCATAGTTCAAAGAGACAATGTATGTACAGTGCATGCATGCGCCCTGCTAGATCATTAGAGACAAAGGCATCTAATTTACAATGGGGGCAGAACCTTGACGCTCTTTGTACAACACAAATGATCTGTTTAAGGCAAGCTTCTTTGACTTCTGCTCCTAGAAAGCAAGTCATCATTCTCAGCTAACTCTGAGGCAAGCTAATCCTGGAGTGCAGCAAACCTGGTCTGTGCCACTTCTCTCTAGTCATTTACCACTCCATTATCCTTACTATTTTATCTTAGTCACTGAATTGCCATTTTAACTAAAATGCATGGCTTGTGTATTTGCCTGTTTTTCAAGGCGTAGAATGTCCTTTTTTAAAGATATCTTTGAAATCTAAGCATCTTTTTCCAGATACTTTCTTGGGCTGCCATCTATCTCTTCAGAGATTAAAATTGGCTGTAAATCAGTCCCTCAGAACGCAAAACAGAGATATTATTCACAATTTTTAAACTCTTCCACGCATAAGATTTTGTGTTCAGTGCTTGTTGGAGTACCAGGGTTAATATCCCAAATGATATTATGATACAGCAATCTAGTTTATTGTCTACAATGAAAGCTTCTTTCAAGCTTAATTTCAGTGGTGGGAGGGTGAGCAACCTGCAGGTAGCAAGGAAGCTTTTGATGGGTACATTTGTGCCTACGAGAGCTGAGTTAGTGACTCATGCCACAGAGGGTGTTCATTGCAAATCTGAAAGAGTTGGGGCTATCCTTTAGAATGAGTTTGGATAGATCAAACAGATACAGTAAGTTTCCTGGTGACAATGGAATTTAATTGTTGCATATTAGGTTGCAATTTTTAACTCCTGGCAAAGGTCACAAAACTCTGTGTTGTTTTTAAAAAACTTTTCATTCTTACCAGTTGTTAGTTTGGTTGTTTAACTTTTTGTTTAGTTACATGGAATGTGTAAGATGTTGTGTCAGTTTATAATTTGGCACAGTAATGCTGATCAGAGCATGAAAATCTATTTAGACTTACTACCTTCTTGTTCTATGCAGATTAATGTAAGAGTCACCACAATGGATGCAGAGCTGGAGTTTGCCATCCAGCCCAACACAACAGGAAAACAGCTTTTTGATCAGGTAATCGTCTTACTATGGGCTGATTCAAACATGACATAGCAAACTGTGACTTACACTTATTTTACAGCTAGTCATGGATCCTTGGCTGATAATGCTGCACCTGTAGGTACTAGTGTCCTGGTTTAGACATGGCAGGCTTTTACAATGGGAAGTTGGGAGTCACATTTTAACCAGCACTTGCTGTTGCTATCTGCAACAAAATGGCTTACTGCTGTGGTCATTCTTGCCCTTTAAAAACCATATTGCTGTGAAGTTGGCCAGCCATTTGCTTATTTAGCTGTGGCAGAGCTTACTACCACTCTCCCCCCCCCCTCGTTGAAGGGTTAATCATGAAGCTTTATGTGACTAGTATTGATGTCATTCTTCTTTTTTAAGGTTGTAAAAACAGTTGGCCTACGGGAAGTCTGGTTTTTTGGACTACAGTATGTAGACAGCAAAGGATACTCAACTTGGTTGAAGTTGAACAAAAAGGTAATGTATAATTTGTTTTATTTAAAATAATTCAATTTGCAATGAAGGAATGGTAGGTGGTGTTAAAAAAGAATTCTAGTTTAGATTTCACTTTCATTTAGAATAAAGATGCATGTACGTCCTGTGATGTTAGTTGACCAATTTGACATCTTCAGTTTAGATTTATTTTTTCTATTTTTTCTTCAGTAGAATAAGGATGTTTAGTGATTGAACTGATGTACTTTGTGAAGACCATCTTACAAGTCAAGATAATCATATCAAGATTAGCTTGACTTGTAAAATGGCCTTCACAGAGTACATCAGTTCAATCACTAAAAATCCTTATTCTACTGAAGAAAAAATTGAAAGTCAGATGCCCATTTTCTTTTCTTTCTTTTTATGGTGGCCAACTATAAACTATAAAGAAGCCCTGCTCTGAACGATTCCATTTCTAAACTGATTGATCCATTTTTTTCTGTTTATATGGAGAATTTAGTTCATACTTGAAATCTTAAGAGGTTTCTGGATTTGTTTCCCATAGGGTGGTATTAATATTTGTGATGATGCACAACAGGGAATCAGTGTTAGAAACTGAGATATGAAAGCTTAGAGCTAAATGGCACCTGAAACCTAGGTTATGGACACAACAACGGAATGTCTAGGCGCACTTTTTATAACAAGAATACAAAGCTGAAAATGAATGAACTGCAGCTAAAATATTACATTCATTTTTCACATGGTCTAGTCCTTCCCCTGCCCACCCCGCTAATAATATTCTTAAGAGGGTCTCTTCACCAGTCTTCAGAGAGTAGCTGGTAGTGGGGAGGCAGGAAAAGATCCTCCTTTCCTTCTACTCTGCAGTTTTAATTTGAAATCTTAGGTGCAGTACTGTGCCCACAGCTCAGAAACAGCTTGTGCTAATGAAATTCCCTGTCACAAAATGTGCCTAGAACAATGGGAGTTTCGAACACTGCATGGAATACATTGGAAGTGGATAAGTTATAGAACCCACTTTCTTTGTCTCCTGTAGAAATGTTTTCATTCAGATCTTAGTCTTGCTGAGACTGACCCTGGGAATTTATCAGAGAGGGTGCAGCTTCACATCTGCCTGATGTGTCTCTCTGCAATCTGGAAGAGCTATGTTCTAATAAGTGTGGGATCAGTTTAATCAAATATTTCTCCCTGCAGTGAGAGGAGCTGAGGGTGGAAACAGAGTTTGGACAGGGATCTCCTGTGGGTGTGCTTGAAGCCAGGTAGAATAACGTCTGTTCAGGTTCTCTGAGTTCTTTCTACTTTGCTCTAAGGCAATAATTCTAGTTGTTTTTGTCTTTCAACTCATTAGTTCTTTTGAGGCACTTGAGATGGGGTGCAGCAAAAATGGTAAGAGAAGGGTTTGACATTCTTCTCTCATACGTTACAAATTATTCTAATGCAAACATCACTGGCTAGTGCTGACAGGATTGCAGCCCTGTGCAGGGGCTTCTGCAGGATTTTTTTTATAGAGGGAGGGGCAAACTGGCTGGTTTCTCACAGAAAATAAGAAGAATAGCTCCAGTACATTTTATCACATGCCAGGTTCAAGTTGCTCTTTTTAAATGAAAGAGAAATGTGAGGTGATAGCTCATTAGGTGTGGGGGGGACATTCCCCCTTGTTCCCCTCTAAAGATGAGCACTCTACTGAGAAAAACAGGATGGGAGGCATCCACTAGTTTGGAAGAACCCCAAAGTTTGCCATAGTTTTTTTTAAAGGAAAAGTTTGAACCGAGAACCCACTGATTGTCTTTTTTTGGGGGGGGGGGTTAGTGGAATGGGAAATCCTGATGTGCTATTTATGAAAAAGCAGACCACTTGAATATATACTGCAACTATTATTCCTTTTCTTGCATTGTTATCCAACATTAGGATTTTAAAAATCTTTTTGTGCAGTTCTTGGTAAACCTCTCAGATACACACACACACACACACACACACACACAAGCTTGCCAGATATCAATTAGTGCGCTTTACTTGAGAAATCTGGTGTACATGATGCTCATTAGCTCATCAATATCTGGCAATCCTGTGCAAGAGACTTTTTGCGGATAAACTTTTAAAACCACTGCTATGTTGTGTACATCTTTGAATGCAAGGTTGATTTTCCTAAATCAGCCTGCTGTGTAGGTCTTCAGAACTGAATTTGTATAATGAAAATTGGAGTAACACAGGGATACAATAAGGACTTTAAATGGCTTTATGTAGCCTCTGAAAGCTGTCATGTTTTCCTAATTCACAATTAATTATTTAGATGTCTGTGTGAATCACAAGTCCTTCAATGTTGTGCTTCCTAGAGTTGAATTACAGTATGTAACAACTGGTGACTAGATTGCTTTCCCAATACTCTCATATTCTCTTTACCCTTCTGCAAACTCCTTTTCAGGTAACACAGCAAGATGTAAGGAAAGAAAATCCTCTTCAGTTCAAATTCAGGGCAAAGTTTTTTCCTGAGGATGTGTCTGAAGAGTTGATTCAAGAAATAACCCAGAGACTGTTTTTTCTGCAAGTAAAAGAAGCCATCTTAAATGATGAAATCTATTGTCCTCCTGAAACTGCTGTTCTGCTAGCTTCTTATGCTGTTCAAGCCAAGTATGGAGATTACAATAAAGAGATACATAAGCTAGGATATTTGGCCAATGACAGACTTCTTCCCCAGCGGTAAGAAACTTATATGGTGCATCAAAAGTCTGGCAGATTCTATGGGTACAGCGTATAACTTTAATATGAAAGCTTGTCTAGTGGCCTACACCATTGGTCTTCAATTTGGAAATTTAAAAATATGCATCTCCATCCCAGAAACTGTGGGCAGTATCCAACTAACTTCTGCTACTGCAAGGAATGTTGGCTGAGCAGTGGAAATCCCCCTTCTTCTCATCTCTCTGTGTGGCCTCTAAATATGTTCCTGGGGTTCTTATGACAATCCCAAGCAGATTTATGGGGTGTACAGGGAGAGGAGAGAGCAGGGAAATTCCATTGCACAGCTGAATCTCCTCACAATAGTGGAACTTGTTGCACTAGTTAGATACTACCTGATTTTCTTAACTAGCTTGACTAGTAGCATAAGTCAAAGTCCTGCCAAGCCAATTGTCAGATGCGCAAGCCCCATTCTAGCATTCACACCTTAAGTACAGAGTTTATGATTTCTTTTGTTGTTGAAATTTGTTGGCATTTTTTAAGGAGTTGAATACAATTGGTGCTACACACATTGTTCTTGTTTACTGTTGCTGTTTATAATTAGTTTTGCTTCATTGTGGTCTTCAGTTTAGTATTTTAATTTACTTAACTGTTTTTTAATAGTTGTAAGCTTCCCTGCAGGCTGTGAATACAGGGAAAGGGAAGAGTATTGCAACATATTCGAATTTACTTCTTGTAAACTGCATAGAGGTTTTGCTACAATCAAGTGGTGTATAAATTTTGTTAAATAAAAATAAATTTAAATCTAGAAAGGTGCCGCTGATTTTAACTTTTGTGTAAAAATAAAATAAATAGTAGGGTACTCTTTTCATGATTATTCTTTATTTTGACAGCGTTTTGGAACAGCATAAATTGACAAAAGAGCAGTGGGAAGAAAGAATACAAAACTGGCATGAAGAGCACAGAGGGATGTTAAGGTAAGTTCCCCGGTATAGTTAGCCCGTCTCTTTTGAATTTAGCTTGCTTTTAATTAATTAATATATCCTACAGACAGAAGAAGTGCTGGTAACTGAAACATATTACTCCAAAGAGCTGTTTTAGCTTACTTCTGTACATAACTAGCTTAACTTTTTGCTACTTTTCCCTGCTTCTGTTCTAAATCTATCATAAAAATATAAATATAAGCACAGTGGGTCCAATCTATTATGTAGTAATCGGCCTCTGTTAGGGCTACAGTTCTATCTGCATATACTTAGGATTATGTCCCATTGAAATTGGTGGGAGATGCAAATTATAATGTATAGAATTGGGCTGTAAATCCGATTGGAATCAATGAATGAAAGTGCACAGTTAACCCACTTCAGACTTAGTTAAGGATACAATTGGTAAGATTGGGCGCATGATCCTTACTACTTCTGCCTATACAGTTACAACAGAAGTTTGCATTTTATCTGGTTTTCAATTATGTTCTTTTCATTGATCAGGGAGGATTCTATGATGGAGTACCTCAAAATTGCACAAGATTTGGAAATGTATGGAGTCAACTATTTTGAAATAAAGAATAAAAAGGGAACTGAATTATGGCTTGGTGTTGATGCTTTGGGTTTAAATATTTATGAACATGATGATAAGTAAGTAATATTAAAACTGTTTCAGTATTCCTGAAGAACTGTTCATGGATCATCCTCCTTAATAGAGTTTGATGTACATTGTTTTTAATTGTGTGCTCTTCGGAAACTGAGCTGTAGATGCTATTGTGGGTAGAGAAAAACCTGTTAAATGAGTGGTCCTGCCTGTTGGGCAGAGGTAGATAAAATTGCACACTGTCCTTTCACCCTATAACTTAAGTTTGTTTTACTGTGGTTGTTCACAAAGTGTGTGTGACTAAGGATTCTTTTGTGTTTGCTAAAGGTTGACTCCCAAGATCGGCTTTCCTTGGAGTGAAATCAGAAATATTTCATTTAATGACAAAAAGTTTGTGATAAAACCCATCGACAAAAAGGCCCCTGTGAGTAAATATTTTTAATTCCTTTTTTAGACCTGAACTATCAATATAGGACACATCTGTAACCCCTTCCTCTCTAGCTCTTAACTCTCCAAAGTTTGGAGAGTAGTTTCTTGCTTAACTAATGTAATTTTTGTTAATATTTGTGTTGGAATTTCTCACTTACATTGTTTAATTGTTCGCTGTAGGGTTGGAGCTAATCCATGCCTGGAATTTTCTTTTCCCTGCCTCCAAAGTACATAACTTTCAAAATCCTGTTTCCTCTGCCAGCCTGTTACAGTCACCAAGTTCAAAGAACCTTTTAGAGTTTTTCCCTCTTTCGTTGGGATTTAATCATTCTTAATGCTTTGGTGTCAGTTCTTTCACTGATCACACCTAATTCCAAGTCATTTATTGATCGGTTCTGGAACAGCTAATGACTAGTCCCAAAGATTGCTTCATTGGAAGTGAAAGTGTTACGCTGTCTATTTAAGAAGTTAGAATCTCATTAAGAAGAAGCTAAGAGTGTCCATATTCCTAACAAGCATGTGTTCCTAGAACATAAATGGGATTTCAATAACTTAATTTTTTTATTAGGATTTTGTGTTTTATGCACCACGTCTGAGAATTAATAAGCGGATATTGGCACTGTGTATGGGAAATCACGAGCTGTACATGAGGAGGAGAAAGCCAGATACAATTGAAGTTCAACAGATGAAGGCCCAGGCTAGGGAAGAAAAACACCAAAAACAGATGGAGAGGTATGATGTTGACAACTGGGTATGAACAGTAGTTGGAATTCTTTTGTCATTCATAACTTCAGACAGACAAACAAAAACACTCTAGCACATGTGACCTAGAGGCAGACTTAAGGAGGAAAAAATATTAAGTTCTATTTTTGCCCTCATGGACAGAATTCTCTAAAAACAGATATTACTCCTATTAAATCAGTGCCAGTAGTGGAAACTGTTGTTGTCTTGGTATCGTACTTTACACATGGATGCACACCAGTTCTAAGCAATGACAAATTGGTTTCATGAATTATATAGAGAGAAAGAAAGGGTGTTTGTCAAAACCCCTGGTTTTCTTTAGCCCTGGGTAGTGTCTAGGAAAGCTCATGTCCTTATCCAGCTTTGTGTCACAATTGGATTTGTCCTCCAGCAAAGTTCACTGACAGCAGGCTGCCTGCTTAATTGGACTCTGCTAGAGTACAGATGCTTTGGGGAAAAACAAGCGGCATGTACTGGCATGTTTACCGCATGTTTCCACAGTGATTTCAGAAGATTTGCACTAAGTAAACTAAATGGTAACACTGCAGCTGCTGTTAGTGAATGCAGACAAATATGTAATTGCCACTTGGATGTTACCATGAGTTAGCTACTATATACTGCCAGTGTGCAAAGAGTCTAGGTAGAGGTGAGGAGCAGATACTTAAGCGTCACAGTTTTGGGTCACTTTGTTTGTTGTCTTTTAAATTGTTTTGTGAAGTACCTAATATTGTGTTATCCTATGGGTTACTACCTGATAGATTGAAGTTTTGTAGGTACTTGATTGACGTGTAGAACATAAGCACCCTGGTGGATCAGACCAATGACTCCTCTAGTCCAGCATTATGTACTCACAGTGGCCAACCAGAGGCTCATGAGAGGCCTGCAGTTTAGAAGCACCATCTTCCCCTTCTTGATGCTGATCTTTAGCTAGATTGTTTGCCTATTTTGTTTCATTCCAGCTTTCACCTTGTTTTTTTTAGACACTTAGGATACAACTTTGAGATCATCTGCCAGAACAAACCTTTTATTTTTATTATTGCTGCAGGGCTTCCACCTAGCATATCATGTTGTGACTTGTATTGTGAGAATAAATTTGGCATGTTTGGGTAAATGGATTTTGATGGATGCGCTGTAAACTCAGAATGAAAATCACTTGCTCCTCTGCTATGTTGATGTTGGCATTTATTTAATTTAGGGCACAACTAGAAAATGAGAAAAGGAAAAGGGAAATAGCAGAAAAAGAGAAGGAAAGAATAGAGCGTGAAAAGGAAGAGTTGATGGAACGGCTAAGACAAATTGAAGAACAGACGATGAAGGCCCAAAAAGGTGAGCATGTTCATCACATCTATTTCCTTCAATAAATATTAAGTTTGTGTGTCTGTTAGGTTTATTATGTTACATTGCTTATTACATCATGTAAGGAAGTTAGCAGCTAGCTTAACAATACACTAATTTAACTTGCATCATATTTTAAACTAGAGGCAACTCTCAAAATACGTGATTTTATGAAGCCAAAACCATGTATAGTCAAGACACATTGGGTTCAGTGGCGGGTGGGATTGCCAAAGTCTTTTTCCCCCTGAATGTCTGCCCCCCCAAAAAAACCATTGGCAAGCACATAAAACTGAATGCATGCAACTTAAGTGAACGTAAGTTGTGAGTTACCTGTACATTGTTGTGTCCCTTTTTCCTTTGGTTCCTTTTTGCTTGAGTGCAGTTTATGGACAGTGGCACACAGACCTTATGTGACATTGTGAAGAGTACAAATTTGCAGTGTCTAAACTGCCTCTCCTTCATGGATCACTGCCTTGCCGTGGCGAAGGGGCTTGAATAACTCAGAGAAGCTATGAGCTATGCCGTGCAGGGCCACCCAAGATGGACAGGTCATAGTGGAGAGTTTTGACCAAACGTGATCCACCTGGAGCAGGAACTGGCAAGCCACTCCAGTATCCCTGCCAAGAAAACTCCATGGACAAAGACAACAGGCATATAAAAGTTATGACGCTGGAAGATGAGCCCCTCAGGTCGGAAGGTGTCCAACATGCTACTGGGGAAGAGCGGAGGACAAGTACAAGTAGATCCAGAGCTGATGAAGCGGCTGGGCCAAAGCCGAAAGGACGCTCAGTTGCGGATATGCATGGAAGCGAAAGGAAAGTCCAATGCTGTAAAGAAAAATATTGCATAGGAACCTGGAATGTAAGAACCATGAACCTGGGTAAGTTGGATGTGGTCAAAAATGAGATGGCAAGAATAAATATTGACATCTTGGGCATCAGTGAACTAAAATGGACGGGAATGGGCGAATTCAGTTTGGATGACTATCATATCTACTACTGTGGACAAGAAACCCGTAAAAGAAATGGAGTGGCCCTCATAGTCAACAAAAGAGTGGTGAAAGCTGTACTGGGATGCAATCTCAAAAATGATAGAATGATCTCGATACGAATCCAAGGCAGACCTTTTAACATCACAGTAATCCAAGTTTATGCACCAACTACTGGTGCTGAAGAAACTGAAATTGACCAATTCTATGAAGACTTACAAGACCTTATAGAAATGACACCAAAGAAGGATGTTCTGCTCATAATAGGGGATTGGAATGCTAAAGTAGGGAATCAAGAGATAAAAGGAACAACTGGCAAGTTTGGCCTTGGAGTTCAAAACGAAGCAGGGCAAAGGCTAATAGAGTTCTGTCAAGAGAACAAGCTGGTCATCACAAACACGCTTTTCCAACAACACAAGAGACGACTCTACACATGGACATCACCAGATGGGCAGCATCGAAATCAGATTGATTATATTCTCTGCAGCCAAAGATGGAGAAGCTCTATACAGTCAGCAAAAACAAGACCTGGAGCTGACTGTGGCTCAGATCATCAGCTTCTTATAGCAAAATTCAAGCTTAAACTGAAGAAAGTAGGAAAAACCACTGGGCCGGTAAGATACAATCTAAGTCAAATCCCTTATGAATACACAGTGGAAGTGAGGAACAGGTTTAAGGATTTAGATTTGGTGGACAGAGTGCCTGAAGAACTATGGATGGAGGCTCGTAACATTATACAAGAGGCAGCAACTAAAACCATCCCAATGAAAAGGAAATGCAAGAAAGCAAAGTGGCTGTCCAACGAGGCCTTACAAATAGCGGGGGAGAGAAGGCAAGCAAAATGCGAGGGAGATAGTGAAAGATACAGGAAATTGAATGCAGATTTCCAAAAAATAGCAAGGAGAGACAAGAAGGCCTTCTTAAACGAGCAATGCAAAGAAATAGAGGAAAACAATAGAATGGGAAGAACCAGAGATCTGTTCAAGAAAATTGGAGATATGAAAGGAACATTTTGTACAAAGATTTCCATAATAAAAGACAAAAGTGGAAAGGACCTAACAGAAGCAGAAGACATCAAGAAGAGGTGGCAAGAATACACAGAGGAACTATACCAGAAAGAAATTGATGTCTCGTATACCCCAGGTAGTGTGGTTGCTGACCTTGAGCCAGACATCCTGGAAAGTGAAGTCAAATGGGCCTTAGAAAGCATCGCTAATAACAAGGCCAGTGGAAGTGATGATATTCCAGCTGAATTATTTAAAATTTTAAAAGATGATGCTGTTAAGGTGCTACACTCAATATGCCAGCAAATTTGGAAAACTCAGCAGTGGCCAGAAGATTGGAGAAGATCAGTCTACATCCCAATCCCAAAGAAGGGAAGTGCCAAAGAATGCTCCAACTACCGCACAATTGCACTTATTTCACACGCTAGCAAGGTTATGCTTAAAATTCTACAAGGCAGGCTTAAGCAGTATGTGGACCGAGAACTCCCAGAAGTGCAAGCTGGATTTAGAAGAGGCAGAGGAACCAGAGACCAAATTGCAAACATGCGCTGGATTATAGAGAAAGCTAGAGAGTTCCAGAAAGACATCTACTTCTGCTTCATTGACTATGCAAAAGCCTTTGACTGTGTCGACCACAGCAAACTATGGCAAGTTCTTAAAGAAATGGGAGTGCCTGATCACCTCATCTGTCTCCTGAGAAATCTCTATGTGGGACAAGAAGCTACAGTTAGAACTGGATATGGAACAACTGATTGGTTCAAAATTGGGAAAGGAGTACGACAAGGCTGTATATTGTCCCCCTGCTTATTTAACTTATATGCAGAATTCATCATGCGAAAGGCTGGGCTGGATGAATCCCAAGCCGGAATTAAGATCGCCGGAAGAAATATCAACAACCTCAGATATGCAGATGACACAACCTTGATGGCAGAAAGTGAGGAGGAATTAAAGAACCTTTTAATGAGGGTGAAAGAGGAGAGCGCAAAATATGGTCTGAAGCTCAACATCAAAAAAACGAAGATCATGGCCACTGGTCCCATCACCTCCTGGCAAATAGAAGGGGAAGAAATGGAGGCAGTGAGAGATTTTATTTTCTTGGGCTCCATGATCACTGCAGATGGTGACAGCAGCCACGAAATTAAAAGACGCCTGCTCCTTGGGAGAAAGGCGATGGCAAATCTAGACAACATCTTAAAAAGTAGAGCCATCACCTTACCAACAAAGGTCCGTATAGTTAAAGCCATGGTTTTCCCAGTAGTGATGTATGGAAGTGAGAGCTGGACCATAAAGAAGGCTGATCGCCGAAGAATTGATGCTTTTGAATTATGGTGCTGGAGGAGACTCTTGAGAGTCCCATGGACTGCAAGAAGATCAAACGCATCCATTCTTAAGGAAATCAGACCTGAGTGCTCACTGGAAGGACAGATCGTGAAGTTGAGGCTCCAATACTTTGGCCACCTCATGAGAAGAGAAGACTCCCTGGAAAAGACCCTGATGTTGGGAAAGATGGAGGGCACAAGGAGAAGGGGACGACAGAGGATGAGATGGTTGGATAGTGTTCTCGAAGCTACAAACATGAGTCTAACCAAACTGCGGGAGGCGGTGGAAGACAGGAGTGCCTGGCGTGCTCTGGTCCATGGGGTCACGAAGAGTCGGACACGACTAAACGACTAAACAACAACAACAAACCTTATTGCGGACCGTCACTTTATAAGAAATACCAGCTTAGATTAAAATCAAATTCAGTTATGTAGTGGTAAATCATTTATATTCTGCCACTAGGTGTGCAGTAAGCTTTAGTTTCAGAACTAGCTGTTGGCTCTGTCAGGAAAAACAGATAAAGGAAATGAAGGGAAGAAGCATGCAAAAAATGTAATAGATATAAACCCATAGTGAGGTGTTCTATTTTACAGTCTGCTAGAAAAGTACAGTTAAATTGGATTTACTTCAGACGTGTTTCTGCTCTTTAAGGTTAAAGTCTTTATATCATTAAACATAATAGCTTTTGCAGGATTTTGCATAGATTTCTCTAGCGCAGCCAATTACTCTTTTTGTGCTTCACTTTCTGAATCATAGCACAGCTATTGAATGGAGTGACTTCTTGCAGTTCCTAACATTTTAATGTTCTTTCATCTCTTTTAATAGTTTGCATTAAGACACTGAAGGCAGTAATTCCCACACTGGGTGCTCTGTGAGAACTGCAGTGTGCTGCAACAAATAAATGATGTAGTGAATGCACCTGGGAACCCAAAGAACTCACCCACAAAAGCCAAATGCATACTATGGATGTGCCCAAACGATGTCAGGGAGGGGATCTGAGTGCCTAAGGCTTATACTTTGCACAGTGCAAGTCAGAATACTTGGGAAGATTACAAAAACCTAAGTCTCCCAAAAAAATGTAAATGAGAAAAACGCCAAATATCGTAAAGCTTTTTTCCAGAAGCATGTGCAAATCTAGGGCCTTTAAAATTAGACACAGACGCCTGAGAATGGGAACTTTTTTCACGCCAGACTAACTGTTCATTTAGCCTAGTACTGCGTACAGTGGTGCCTCGTAAGACGAAAATAATCCGTTCTGCGAGTCTCTTCGTTTAGCGGTTTTTTCGTCTTGCGAAGCAACCCTATTAGCTGCTTAGCGCTATAAGCGGTTTAGCGGCTATTAAAGGCTTAGCGGCTTAGCGGCTAAAAGGCTATTAGCGGCTTAGAAAAAGGGGGGGGAGCGGGAAAAAATCGCAAGACTCGCAAGACGTTTCCATAGGGAAAATCGTCTTGCGAAGCGCATCGAAAAACGGAAAACCCTTTCGTCTAGCGGGTTTTTCGTCTTGCGAGGCATTCGTCTTGCGGGGCACCACTGTATTTTGACTGATAATGGCACTCCAACATCCCAGAAAGAGGGCTTATCATCTGCTTCATTTGCCTGGGATTGACCCAGGGGCCTTCTTGTGTGCAAAGCATGTTCTCTGAGCTTTCGTCCTTACTGCTATGGTTTGTGTGCCTACTGAGCTATCACGGCTGCCATGTATTTGGGAAACTGGCTTGCATTTGAGCTTTCTTTGGCTTTTATACCTGATGCTTTTATAATTCCTCCTGAGAAAAATGTGAACAGTTTTGACGGTTAATGGATTTGTATGAGAGCCAGTTCTTTTTGCAGTCTGGGCAGGAAAGTATTGCTCTGTTCGCTTGAATATCTATAAAAGAAATTAAGTGAAATGCATCCTTTTGCATCCTTTCACAAGAGTAAGTTCCTGCCAACGTGGTCAAGTGGAGAAAACATTGGAATATTCCATTACAGTGGTACCTCCAGTTGCGGACAGGATCCGTTCCGGAGCTCCGCTCGGGTCCCGAGGTTTCTGCAACCGGAGATGCCGCTTCTGCACATGCTCACAGTGTGTAGAGCGCTTCTGCCCATGTGCGCGCAGTGAAACCTGGAAAAATACTTCCGGGTTTGCTGTGTACGTATCCTGAAGGAAGTAGAGGTACCACTGTACAATGTAAAATTGACATTAGATTATAATCTCATGTGTTGGATGGCCATCTCACATGTATGTTTTAGTTGAGATTCCTGCATTGCAGGGGGTTGGGTACCTTCCAACTTTACAATTCGATGATTCTATAATTCTGTGTATGAGTTGCAGTGTAAAACAAGTTGGAAGACATGTAATCCTAGGTCTGTTGAACTTGGCATAAGTCAGGATTGAACTCCCCTCTCCATTGGTTTATGGCTGGGAAATTCATTCCTGCTTGGTTACTGCCTCCACCAAACTCTGCTGCGAACTGCCTCTCAGAGCTGATCCATGAGGTTTAAGATGAAGATCTGCCCACTGGGTCAAAAAGGTTTCCCACCCTTGTCCTAGGCAATCTCCATTGAAAGCAATTGAGACCTTCTGTTCTTGTTCTTAGAAAAATAACAGAGAACTCTTTAATATTCAGTGTTGGAAATATTTAGTTTTATTGACTTGGTGTAACACAGTCTGGCTGCCTTTTATTTATCTGATCTTTTCTAAACTTCTGCATAGAATTGGAAGAACAGACGAGAAGAGCCCTGGAGCTGGATCAGGAGAGGAAGAAAGCAAAAGAGGAAGCAGAGCGCCTGGAAAAGGATCGGAGAGCTGCAGAAGAGGCAAAAGCTGCTCTGGCGAAACAGGCTGCTGACCAAATGAAAAATCAGGAGCAGCTGGTAAGACGTTACATGTGCCTGATTATGTTAGGATGTATTGTTTTCAAGGAGTTTGTTAAAATTCTGGCATCCAAAGAGGAAACGGTATTAAGAAAACCATGCAGGTTCATAATTGCATGATGTCATCTAAGTACAAAAAAGGTAGATGCATGTACTTTCTCTCCCCGTATAGCTATGTACTGTGCTGTGGGGAGAGAAAGGTGTATGTTGCATTTTGAGTCGTAAGTCCACTAGGTTGCATCCAAACCAAAGCACACATAACAGGGCAGGTAGAAGCTGACTTCTCTCCACTCACCAAGGTTGCCTCTCTCATTTTGGGGATCCCCTCAACCCTTCTTGCTATAGCCCACCACTTTTGGCAAAGTACCCCGACCTTAGGGGAACCTCTCCGACCAGGTTGTGGGGGGGACTGAGGAAGTCTGTTTCCACCAACTCCATTACATGCCTCTGGATCCATTCTACCATCTTGTTAATATTAAGTTCAGATATTCCTTAAACCACCACCATTCAAATGGTGGCACTATCCTTATGAAATACTTTCTCCAAAGGATGCCCTCATGACTATTTTTCCCCCAAGTTTTGGAGTCACATGATAACCAGGCTCATTTTTTAAAATTTATTTTTATTATATTGCTCTTGGGGAATTAACTGGTCAGTATTAAGGGAATATTAAGTGGCTTGGTTAATAAGAAAATAACCAAACCACCAAAGTGGTTTGGTTATTTTCTTATTTGTCTAGCTATTTTAGTTTTGAACGGTTGCCTGTTCATTATACAAAGCTTATGAAAAGGTGACTAAGATTTCTTTACAGCTTCATCTTTAATGCAGACCAATACATGATGTTGCCTTAGAGCTAATAACTTTTTCATCTTACTTCCTAGGCGGCAGAACTTGCGGAATTCACTGCTAAGATTGCACTTTTGGAGGAGGCCAAGAAGAAGAAAGAAGAAGAAGCTTCAGAATGGCAGCACAAAGTAATTATTTTTAATGTATTAAAGCTGGGATTTGTGAATGGGCAAAGCATTCTGAACTGCATGCCAGAGCTGAGAACAAGGCATTTCCCAGTATCGGGTGCCAAATTCTCTGCTGGAAAATGCTTTTTAAAATCTTCTGCATGCTTACAATACTCCTTGCCCCAGTGTGAGATGAGAGCAATACTTGGACTCACATATGTCCTGTGCTTTCTACTTATCTCTGGCTAGAAGGCAGATTGACTTGATGGAATATAGATTCATCCAACCCCAGGAGGTAAACAAATGTCTTCATGAGCTTATCTGTACCTACTTCTTATGCTTTTCTGAAATCTCATCCTAAATAGGTATCCTACTTTTCTCCTAGAGACAGGGAAAGCTGTTAAGAGTCTTCTGAAAATGCTGTTTGGGCTAATCATTTTAATGAATACTTGGGGTCTAGGGATGTATCACAGTTCCTTTATATTAGTTGACTGCAGCTGACTTGGTATTCAGAAAGGTGTGCGGAGCTGCTTGAGTTGACTTCTGGTCCTCTCTTGAGACTTTCAAAGTAATTTTAAGCATATATTCTGTGGCCCGTAAACATGTTAAAGGAATGACAGGCTAAGTTGGTTCAATCTCATTGACACCAATCTCATTAAAGTATAAGGCTGGGAGATTTTGGTTGTTTGCGGAGCGTGTTGACTAATCCTCATGACTACCTTTTAGGCCTTTGCAGCCCAAGAAGATCTGGAGAAGACCAAAGAAGAGCTGAAGACTGTGATGTCTGCTCCTCCTCCGCCACCTCCTCCGCCTCCCCCTGTAATTCCTCCCACGGAAAATGAACATGATGAACAGGATGAGAATAATGCAGAGGCCAGTGCTGAATTGGCTTCTGATGGCGTTGTGAATCACAGGAGCGAGGAAGAGCGTGTAACAGAAACGCAGAAGAATGAACGTGTAAAGAAACAGCTCCAGGTAATGAAGAATTACAGAGGCATATAACATAGGCCACAAACCAAAAAGCTCTCTGCTGGTTTGAGCATGCTCAGCCTTGCTTTGCACTGTAGTCCCCTGCAAAGCTTTTGAAATGACTCCTATCGATCCCATCTTGGTGTGGGTGTGAGGGGACGTTCCTGCTCAACTTGCAGAGGAAGTCATTTGGTTCAGTGGGCCCCGGGCACAGTACATACTGCTTTGCAAAAATTCATAATATATCCCTCCACACATCTAGACATTCTCCTTCTGATTAAAAGAAACATATTTTTGTGATGTGGCCTGTATTTTGGAAAATGCAGTCGGGAGAACAGTGTCGTTCAGTTTGTCTCTTGTGCTGCTTTACAAATCTTGTTTTGGAACTAGGTACTGCAGCCCCATGTGAAAATAACAAAATGCTCATAATGCCCAACACAAGCAAGTTCCTTTATATGCAAATTCATACCACAGAGCGCAAATGTTGCTTTTATTCTCTTTGGATTTTGAGCATTAAGCTAGTTAACACAGCATTTTGAAAGCTAAGATCAGATTTCATCTTAATTGAAGCTCTTGGAGGGGCCATTCTGCTGAGCTTCCTTTCCAGCGGCCTTTAGGCCCCTTTAATAATGCACGAAGGCATTTAGAAGGCAATCAGAACCAGTAAGTGAGTTTCCTGGCAATGCTGTTGTACAGATCATCATTCTGAAGGATAAATCCATACAATACAGAAGCAGATGATTCCTTCATCTGATGGGTAAATAAGTTAGTTTAGTAGAGCATGATGGGTTGTCAACTAAGGTGTCCCATCAGAGCAAGGATTTCTACTTCTGTAACAAGACTCCCACCCCCCTCCTCTCTTTCCAGTCTCCCTCCCCAAATTTGTGCCAGAGGATATGGGGAACTTCTAGAACAGATTTAGGGGCACACAGGAGGATTGGGAGGGGGGAATGTTTTGTTATGCAAGTAGAAATCTTTGCACTAACAGAATATTCACTAAACCCAATGTAATTTTAAAAAAAATAAACAAATCTTAACCTGCCTATGTTTTGCTGTATCATAGGTTGGCCTGAGAGGGACGCGGGTGGCGCTGTGGGTAAAAGCCTCAGCGCCTAGGGCTTGCCGATCGAAAGGTCGGCAGTTCGAATCCCCGCGGCGGGGTGCGCTCCTGTTGTTCGGTCCCAGCGCCTGCCAACCTAGCAGTTCGAAAGCACTCCCGGGTGCAAGTAGATAAATAGGGACCGCTTACTAGCGGGAAGGTAAACGGCGTTCCGTGTGCGGCTCTGGCTTGCCAGATGCAGCTTTGTCATGCTGGCCACGTGACCCGGAAGTGTCTCCGGACAGCGCTGGCCCCTGGCCTCTTGAGTGAGATGGGCGCACAACCCCAGAGTCTGTCAAGACTGGCCCGTACGGGCAGGGGTACCTTTACCTTTACCTAGGTTGGCCTGAGCAGTGAATCTGGCAAACAGTGAACACAAAAGTTAATACTTCTCTTAACCACATTATGTCCCCTTCTATTGTAATTCTTTCTAAGAATATGTGATTGAGGAGCTATACATGTGAGACTGATAACTGTTCTCCAGAAAAAAATATTCCAAACCTTGTTTTAAGTTGAATTTACTGAAAATAGTCCACTAAAGGAACAAGAATATATCATCTCCCCTTTTGCACATGTATACCCCTTTGTTTTATGTATGTATACCTTCTGGCTGTTTGGTTGGAAGATTAATCCTGTACCGCAAATGAAATGTTGAACTTGACAGAACTGGCAGCGTTTAAACTGGCAATCCTTTTGTTCCACAGGCCCTGAGTTCCGAGCTGGCCCAAGCCAGAGACGACACCAAGAAGACCCAGAACGATGTCCTTCATGCGGAGAACGTTAAAGCCGGCCGCGATAAATACAAGACTCTTCGACAGATCCGGCAAGGCAATACGAAGCAGCGCATTGATGAATTTGAAGCAATGTGAGAGCTGTTACTTTGCATATATGTTCTTCATTAAGCTTGAACCACCAGCAGAGAAATGCAGGCCTTTCTGAAAGGAACACACCCCACCTTGCCAAAGCATTTATACCAGTTTGTGGTTAAAACTCATTTCATGAAAGCCGTTCAACAATAAGGCAGCCTGTCCGCTCTGGCTCTCTGGGAGAGGTGGTGGTCACATCTCCATGATCTCATATCACGTTTTTTTTTTTTATTATTCTTTGTCCTCTGGAGGAGTAGCACCATCTTACTCTGACAAAGCTGTTAAGGAATGATTTGAAAGAACACTAGCTTTTACCTTATAACTGGCCACAGTTTTTGGCATGGGTGCACTTTGGATTTTTCTTTTCTTTTTTCATTTTAGTGAATTTGCAAGAACTTGCTTAATTTATCAGGGGTTACGGGGTGTTGTTTTTCTTCTGTTAGGTGGAGTTCTTTGGTGTTTCACGTCCTGTCATCATTGATGGTTTTCTTTGCCTGCCTGTTCACAAAGGTCTAGATGGCAGGTAGCTGTTCCAGCATACCTTTTTCCCCCCTTAAAAAAAAAAGTGGAACATTAACCTGTAGAAAGTCTTTTGCTTATAGGTCTGTTTTGCTGAAGTCTTCAGTTCTTCAGATAAAAGTAGGAAAATCGAGACACTCTTTAAGACAGGGATAGGTAACCTTTGGCCCTCCAGATGAACTACAACTCTCATCAGCCCCAGCAAGCATGGCTAGGAAAGATGGGAGCTGCTTAGTTCAATAACATCTGGAGGGCTCAGGTCCCCCGCCCCTGCTCTGGGTTCTCCTTGCATTTTGTAAGCTGTCATATGAATTGCAATGTGGGAAACCTGGACCTTTCTGGCAAGGGAGCATATGAAAACATCAGTCCCATGGAGGGGACACTAGCCTACCTCACTACGATATGCATGATGACTGGTCTTTCAAACACCATATAGAAACGCAAACTGCATTATGCTAGGTTTCTGCATAGCTAAACACTACACAAATCTAGGAGCCTTTACTCTTTAAATATTTTGTTCTATTGCTGCATAGATTTGTAGTACTCAAACAGTGTTCAGCTGCCTTTTTGTTGAGTAAAATTCTGCACCATGTATCTTCCATTTTTTTAAAAAAATGTAACCTGGAACTGGTATATGATCCACTGAGAGGGTGTGAAACATTTGAGCATGTTTTCTGGGTCTTGGGTTCCTTTGTACTAAATTAACGTTGCTCTGAGGCTCATTTCTTAATGAAGTCTGCATAAAACAATGCTGCCTTGTACTTGCTTTGAGGGCCCACTTACACATCAAGGTTGTTCCTTCCATGATAACTGAAGATGCAAGGGAATTGTGCATATATATATATATATATATGCGCTTTTCAGGGAGTCCAGTCACAGGAATTGTGGCAGAACAGGGGCAAATGAGTTGTATGAACAAACATACAGGCTGAAGTTCAGCATACAGTCAGGGAATATTGAATGTATGTTTAGACCTATTGCTGAATCACCCTTATCTAATGCTCTTTGGGATGATTAGTTGGCATGTTGACTTTTGAGGACCATGTTTATGAATGAAATTATGCACCATTTTTATAACTCTTTAATTAGTAGTTGGGAGAAAGCCCTGCTTTCCCTGAGGATGGTTCAGCTAACCTTTTGGTATTATGCACTTAAAATTTACACTTCCCTATTAAAATTGCCATTTTATTAAATATCCTTTAATAAGGATTCCTTATTGAACCTTCTTGAGGGTTGTCCCCCACCCCACCCTTAAATTTAAGGGAGATCTTGGAGAGAGGACATCATGAAAGGAACACAGAGACACTGGTAGCTGATTTTCCTTGCACGGGTGTGCAAAAGCTGTGCACATGCTCAAATGTTTGCCCTGGGCACTTTTGCTTGCAGTCAGAGAAATTGGGCAGATGCCTTGCACATTTTCATGCAGCAAATCATGAGACCTATATGTCCAAAGTGTTCAAAATATTTTGCCATAGCAAATGGAATGCAGTGTATGGCTCTTCCCTGAAATGTGTGTTCGTGCATTGACAATGCCAGACTATCAGTGTAAGGGGGGAAAATACGAGTTAGATTTGCTGTTCATAATATACAATGTATAGATTAGAGTTTAAAATGGATCTAATCCATATATAAAACTGTGTGACTTTTTTCTAAGCAACCAGGAATTAACATCTGTAATGAGGTTTTTCACTGTGAACAAAGTGATGGTGATGGTTGTCACCAATTGTTGAGGAAACACATATTGATGCAGAGGCATTAAGAAAATAACTTGGTAAAGGAATTTTCAACACGCTTCCCCTCTTCTTCTTCCCCTCCCCTTCTTAGCATCTTTTGTGTTGTAAAATTAAGCTACAGTTAATAACACCTATTATTTTGGATAACATTCATTGGCTAACAATAAAGAGACTACAGTTCATTCTTCTGAGATCCATTGTTGTTATTTAATCTCATCTTTCCCAAGCAAAATTGTTCGGTTTTGCTGGAAAAAAACAAATCACAATTTGCTTAAGACTAGTGAATGGATGTCTGGAACACAGATGACAAATCTTATAATGGGAATTATTTAAAATGTAAGCAGAAATGACACTCCTATGGAGGGAGGGGGCACTAACTGCTCACTACAGATTGAAGGAAAAAGGGTGATTGAGGTTCAAAAAAGAGGAATCACTGGCACAGAATTGCTGTTGAGGACAAAGAGCTTATTTAGGCAACAGGTGCTCATATGACAAAAATTGAGGTTTTTTCCTAGATGTATGCTCCAGCTTTGTGACATGGAGTTGCATGAGTAGCGTAAGATCTCACAGCTAGCATCACACACAGATTTGAGAGGGAGCTCATTGGAATATCATTGACTTAATGTTGCATATAAAATGGGACTTCACTTGTTCGTTGTTTTTTTTAAGCTGTGTAATTTGAGAAATCAAGAATGCCCAAAATATTTTTTACTTTTCATATATGCAAGCCAGTCTGGAACATAGGAAGTTGCCTTCTACTTACTCTGACCATTGGTCCATCCTGCTCAGTATTTTCTACACTGGCTTTGCAGAGCACTGTCCTAGTTGGAGATTGAACTTGGAACCTTCTGCATGCAAAACAGATGCTCTATCACTGATCCGTGTCCTGTCTCATGCTCGTCTGTTTTGTAATACATAATTATCAAGTCCTTGCAGTCAGAGTGCACAAATTAAAGCTGTTCACCATAGTTGTGACTTAATTCTGTTCCCCAGGTAGTGTGCAGGAGGACTCCAAAATAGGACTTTTCCACTGCGTAGGAGATGCAGGGGGAGCACAGGATGTAAAGCTGAATACTAGGAAGTTCCCTAAGGCTGCTCCAGTCCTGTCCTCCCCCCTGCTTGTTTGCAGAACAAGCAGCCCATTTGGCTGTCCTGCAATGATCACTGAGCTAGCCAAGGCATTGGCTTTTATAGCTGAGACTCATCTTGGATTCATTGTAGTTCATTGTGGTGGCCAGCAGTAGCAAGGCAACTATTTGGCTCAGTCATTGGACAAGAGAGAAGAAATAAATGAGGCTGAAGATAATGATGATGATGATGGAGGTTGTAGCACTAGACTAGGTTTTCCACAGGCCGTCTTCAAACAGAAAATCACTACACATACAAAACAGGCATGCATACATTTCTATGGCCCTTTGTGCAATGTATTTGTTGTTTATCATTGTGGACTGTTGTGTGTAGGTTTTCGTTGTTCAGATCCTGGCTCGTCAACCATACACTGCATTTCACACACGTTTTCCACCTAATGGGATAAGATGCATGTTCTCTGCCCCCCTTTCCTCGCCGAAATAGAATCAAGGTAAGGCTGAAGAAATGTCCAATGTATATTTTATGTTCCCTTCCTTTGGGCGGAATAAATATTCTGAATCCACTAGGCTCTTTCCTACTGTTTATATTTTGAGGTGGAAAAGTCACATTAAGATGACTTCTCCCACTATTCCCAGGGGGAGGCAAAAAAAGAGGGCGGGCGATGTCAATTCATTACCAGGAAAAGACAAGAGGTGGAAAAAAATGATTTATTCATAAAACAATGCTGATTTTCTGTTTTGCCTGGTGTGTGCAGTTGGTTACTCATAGTTGCTTTGCTGGACAGGGATATGCAAAATAACCTGTGGGCAAAGCATACATCCCACTCCATTTTCAGTCCTGCTGGCTCTGTGTTGGACCTCTGCTCTGTTTTCCGTTGGGGGCCATTTCTTGGAGTGTGGATGTGCTTTCACAAAGCCCCTTGCCTTATTGAAAGCAGCAGGGCTCGGCTTTGTCTGCAGTGCACCCCTTCTATTTCCATAATGATGCCTACCCCATGCATAATTTGTCTTCTTTTCTTTTTTGGCCATCGTACAGAGACGCACCTGCTTTTCAGTCCACAGGATGCCTTGTTGTAACACTCGGCATCCATTACATCAGTTTTAAGCCCTCAACATATAGTAGGTCTTTCGGGAGAGAGACATTAAAGTGAAGCAGCAATATGCAGCTCTCTATGCGTAATATAAATAGAACCATGCTTTCCACCTATTAAAGTATGCACAGTCTAACTTTTGTGCTAGCAGTGTTTCCATACAGCTGCTACAGTGTTTAAGAGGAAACGCAGCAAACGATAACCAGCAGATATTCAGCCCCACCACTAAGGAGGAAAAATCCTTTTCACATTCAGGTGGTCTCCAATGTGTTGCTTCCACGTGCCAGGATACTAGTGTTAAGAGACTGTGGCTCTTCAAAATGCCGTTTTAAAATCACTTTTCATAGGGCCTTTAGGAAAGCAGATGTGTTCTTATAGAGCTGTGTCCAAGAGATGTTGTGCAGGCAAAATGGAGCTCTGGACAGGGCATAGCGATCAGTACATTGGTATGACTGATAGGGTGCTGATGTCATGAACTAGCACCAGAAGCTAGTATATCTTGGTGCCCCTTTACCAGCCAATTGCTGCCATCAACAGAAACAGCAGAGCTTTTGAGAAACGGGGCAGAGTCAACAATGATCTGATTGTCAAACTGAACTTTTTTTAGGCAACAAGGAAAGTGGAAAACAAAAGGGTGAGTACTAAAAGAATAGTTATAGAAGGCCTCAAAACTTACCAGTGGATATTCCCAAGACTCTGTCATATTTAGCTTTTTGCCTGCCCATAGCTTGATCAGTGTTTTTGTTGCATTTATAAGGTTCGAGGTTCAATCTGAGTTCTGCCTTTAAAAAAAAAGGGTTTTGAAAACTGGAAAATACCCTGAATAACCACTGTCAGTATACCAAACTGCTAGCTAACCTTCAAGGCACTTCACTTTAAATATTTGGCAAGGACAGTCAACTGTTGGTTTGTGTGCTAGTATAGCACCCTATTCAGGTTTTCCAAAAACTTTTGGAGGGGGTCCAGGGCTGTAGGTGCCCACCCCACCCCCAAATCCCCACTGGCTCTGCTGCCAACTGTTGCACATTGAGGTCAAAGTGGTTGGTCTTTGAGCGTGTTTAGACTCCTCTGCAACAGAGTTTTCTGCACCACTGGGGCCCTGATCTCCGGGAGGCTTCTAAGGGCATTTTCCCGAATGCTTGAAGAATCCCCTTTGAGACCTTTGGATTCAACTCACAAAGGTTAGAGGTGAAGCTGGTGCATCCTTTGAACATGTGAGTAGGGCTTATGGTAGCTCCTTGCGCTCACTAGGTTAGTCAAAGCATAGGAGAGCCTTCCAAAAGTCACACTTTTATTGTTAGTAGTATTGCTGATGTTTGGCTGCATGCCAAGTCAATGCACATTTTAGCTGGAATGCAGTGTCAATTTGTGAGCTCTGACACCCTCTTGATTTCAACGGGACACCCAAGTGCATGCAGAGTTGCCACTGCTGCCAGATAGGCCTCACAGTCTAAACTTCTTCACTCTTCTTCTGAAAAGCAAAATTTGAATTTCTTTTGGAAACAACCCCTCTCTTTTCATTCTAGGCGCTTCTGCAGCTATAATTGTGGTGGGTGTGGCTCTTTTCTGTTTCCTTATTAAATCTGCTTGGTTTTTCTTCTGTGTCTTTGTGCAGGTTACAAAAGTACGATCTCTTGCAACCCTTAGGATAGAAACTTATTCAGGAACAGCTGAAGAACCGGAGGTCTATCCAGGCCTGCCTCTGTTATTTGGGAAAGTTTACAATCCTTTAAACACACAAGAGGTGCAAAGTATATGTCAACTTTCTTGACGGAGAGCAACTCATGCTTTGGAGATCTCTTGGTTCAGTTCTCGTAACTGGGTTTTTTCCTAAGCGTTGGATTGGGGGCTTGTTTCCCCCCCCAAAATATGGCTGTGACTATTTCCTCAAAGGCCGAAGAATCAGAACCTTTGTTTACTATGCAGCTATAATGGAAATCAATATAGCAGACGGCAAACTGTTCTTTAAAAGTGGGATCTTTTAAATATTCTCTGCATGAACCCTGGCAGAATCAGAAATGTAAAAGTAACTGCTGTTTCTTTTGCCTTTACATTATTCATTTTTACACATTTTATATTAAGCCTTGATGGCATATAAAAACCTAAATCAACATAATTTGTCACAGGCAAAGGAATTTTTCAGAGTTTTCCTCTTAAGGTGCTACAGCCGATTGATTCCCTGCCTCACTATCGCTCAAATGGGCATTATATGCATATATTGCAAATTGTCTCTACCTATGTACTTGAATAAATGCATCTTTGATGCTTGTGTGCCTGCTTGGTGACTTTAATTCTTCCTTATCTGTAGCTGTTGTGCCAGGAGTGGGAAACCTACAGCCCTTCAGATGTTGTACCCCAACTCCCACCGGTCCTAGCCAGGGATGTGGGGTTCGTTCATCAACATTGAGAGGGCCCCACGTGACCCATTCCTGTTACGCAGTTGCTGGAAACCTTGCTGTGTATAATTGTCCAAACCTCAGCAAGCGACAAGAGGCAAGGAGATGACTCAGCTTGTAACATTCACTTTCGGCCTCTGCTTGTGAATGGTCTGCCCCTACGCGAAGGAGTACAATTACATGAGAGCCAGAGCGGTGCAGCAGCGTACAGATTGGAATGGCTTTTTGAGCAGAAATCTCTGGCCTGCCAATCTCTCCAGGGAGTGAATCATTTGTCTTTAGCTTTGTTTCCTCCAATATGAATACCTCGGCATCCTTCAGGCAAGCCAGAGGCACAACCACAGTGCTAGAATATATTCCAGCCACACAAAAACATTGGGTGGCCGGCAGGGAGGGTGTGTGTGTGTGTGTGGAGCCAGGCTGCAGAGGATGTAGGGAGAATCCTGAGGCCACTGGGCCTCAGATTCCTCACCCCTGCTGAGGAAAAAGCATAGCTTGCTCCAAGGTCACACAATGAGTCCATGATATAGTGCACTTCATATATGTCAGCAGCACACAAGAATGAAAAAGTGATTTCTCTAGCCTAAGGTGCTCATATAGGATATCCTACTGCATAGTTCACCTCTCATTTGAAATGCCAGGATATACTTTTTGCTACTAAAGAAGGGGTGGGGAGAGGCTGAGTGAAAGTGTCAAAGAATTTGACCTTAAAATGATCCAACTTTCTACTAATATCATGTAAAGTGTTCAAAATCCTTTTAACTCTGTGGAATTTCTCTGAGACAACTCAAGCAAATAGTTCTTACGATTTCATGCTGTTCTGGAGAGAGCATCAGTATGAAATAAGGAGAGTCTAACCATGAAGGGAGGGGGAAGCTAATTTTTAAAATATTTTTGTAGAATCCATATACATGCTTTGCAATTTTTTTTATTTTTGTCCAAGAATAGAATCCATGTACATGCTTTGTTTATTTTTGTAATGCCCATGTACTGCTTTATTTGATGTGAATAGCCACAGTTTAAGAACAGCCAGTGAAGAGTACACAATTGCTGCACCAAACTTTTCATAGACATGTTGATCCTCTTTTTTCACAGATATGAGTTTCCAAATAGACAAGATCCCACCAGTTCAAATTGAAGGGAATATGCAGGGACGACAATGACGATGACCCCCACCCAAAAAACCCCCTTAAGAACACTTGTAACTAAAACATCTCATCATCACCAGAAGCAATTCCTTACATTTAGCTCCAGGATAATTGCAAAATGCCCATCCAACTAGGAAGACAAGTAGATGGAAAGAAAAATCAAACTACTGCTATACCACATAGTTAAGTATTTTAAAGCTGTACAAATACAAAACTTCAGTAAGTGCGAAGGCTATTATTTTGTAATCTTGGGGAACTTTGTTGGGCTTTCTTCTAAACATTATCCCATTCCTAAGGTCACAAAATGTTCTCCCATAAGCGTATGCTATAGCCAATGCCCCAAATGTGAATACTGTTGATAATCGTGAAGGAATTCTGATAAATATCACATGCCTCTGAAAGTCCAGTAAATGTTGGTAAACATCCAAAGGTCTCGAGTTATCAACACCTCAGTAGTGCAATTCCATAATTCTGAACGACGATGTTTCAAGTCTAATTAAAGCTCTATTATCAAGCAAAGTTTCATTTGGAACTGATGAATGCAGATCAATCTGCACTCAGAATAAGGGGTGTGTGTGCGTGCGATATCGTGAACATTTCTGTCATTTACAAAGCATGAAAAATGCAAATCACTTTTTGGATTTTAACCCTTTTAAGATGTATGGCCAAAAAGGTTTGTTTTAAAACCGTCTATTAAAATATGTACTTCCTTTCTGCTCTTCCCCCAGTTTTAAAACAGAAGACCAAGTTCTCCCATTATTCTCCCTCAAAATGTTAGGATCAATAAATTTCCCAGATAAATACACGCAATATATCAAAATAAATATTCCCAAAAGCTATTTTTAAAATACCGATGAACAATCCGATTAACATACTGGATAGTTGCCATTCCAATACTACTAAGAAATATCCACTCAGATTTATCCAGATAGTTTCAAAAACTTAAACTGTATCTTCTCTAAGAAGGTGTGGGGTTCAGAGGCCACAGCAGTGGTTGGCAGCGAATACTCTATTTGAGACGCAAAGGGGCAGAAAGATCTCCCAAGAGAGGATGGATATGGGGCAAAAAGAAAGTCACATCCTTATGGCAAGCAGGCACGAAGAGGCAGGAAAAAAGAATGTGGAAAGACTGAAAAGGAAAACAGAGGAATGAAAAGTCTGAGAGTAATAAAAACAGCAAAATCCATAAAGACAGAGAAACAGCAGGAGGTGAAAGAAATGGTAGGAAGGGGGAAATTTAAATAAAAGGCAGAATAAAGGCACACAAGGAATGAGTCCTTAATCACGTTCCATTTTAATTTACACTTAAAATGCAATATAACACATACAACCTTTGCGTTGTCTCTCAGAAGAGACTTGGGAAGGATTTAAACCTGCTGACTCACCAGGAGGTGTAATCATGGATGCTGCAGAAATTGCCACAGTCTCCAAAGATGCCACAAACCCCCTTATTTTGAAAATTCACATAGTGTATATTCTCATTTCTTCTGAAAAAACAAACAAACTACTGTCTTTTAGACTGGGAGAGGACAGCAGGACTGGAAAACGAAGAGCTCCGCTTTCAGAAATGAAGCCCATGGACCTATTCATAGTGTCAGAATTTGCTAAACACGCACACGCAAAACCTAAAGGAGTTAAACTCTCGTAACTTTGGAGTCATATTAGAAGGTAAAAAAAAAAATAGCCAGAAGTTCCAAACATGTTAATGAGATGTATGCACAAAATGGCAAGGAGTTTAACCTTGCCATCATATGTAGATCTAAAAGGGGCTTCTATGTGGTTGAGCATGATATACCGGTAAGTACACTGTATAATTACATACATGCACACATATGATTTCCCCAAAAATCCAAAACCCTGAAATGTTTCCAGGTAAATTTTCCATCCCTTCTGTTAAGTACTTCCAAACAATAGTGATGATAACAATGGCATAAAACTCAGCTCAAATTTCAAAGTTGGAACTGAGCGCACCAATGTCTGTATGTTGCAATAAATTAAAACAAAGCAGGTATTTGACCTCCTAAGATCATATATCACATATTTTAACTTCACAGTTATAACACCCTCTGCACATGGGTGCTCTGCTTGCTTTCCAGTTCCATCCCCATCCCCTGAAGACGCCTTCCCCAACAAAATGCCTCTGCCAGTTTTGTCCCTTCCCCCATATACGAGTAGACATGCTTTTTCACTTACACTTGGTGTGCAAATTTGGATCCAACCCAAAAGTTGCATCAATAAATCGGCATAAAACAGACCTGACATCTTCCTAGCCTTTCCCCTTTCCATGTTGTCCTACAGTTGCTGCAAACTATTACCATATATATTCTACAGAAAGCCATCCCAGGAGGGGGAGGGTGGCTGCGGGTCCCGAGTTTTGGAACGTCAAAGGAGAAAGAGAGCAACTTAGAAGAGCCAAGGTTCACAGGAGGTGGTGTGCATAAAGCAATGTTGTTAAAATGCGAAGCAGCCATGCTGCTGCCTGCTGGTAAGAGCTGCCCAATGACTCCAGTTCTTTTGGTGTGCGCAAAACAACATGCTGCTCTCTGGAGAAGCAGATAAGCAGTTTCTGAATCCAGAAAGGCTTGCTACCGGTCATAGTCAAATAGACGGAGACAGTTAAGTATCCGCTTCAGAGATGGCACAGCTGTGGATATACCGGTACCTGGCCAACCATTTGCTTTCAGGGAAAGGACATACGGAGGACAGGAGCTTTGAGTCCTTCAAAGCCTGGGAGCTCCATGCAAAGTTCTTGCAGCAGAAAACAGTGCTTTTTTGTTTTTTACATCAGCTTTTAATGGAGCCCAAGGAAGGCCACAATAACAAAAGACCAGATATCAACACTGAAGGAAGATACTGAAGCAGAGCTTCCAGGAGTTCTGGGAGCTTCAGCCCAGCCAAAGTCACAAGCTGCATCACACATTCACGGAAGACGCTCACTTCACATTGTAGTATACAGTGCAGGATCAGGCTCCACGCCGCAGTCAGACATAAACATGTAAAATACGGTAAGCCGGCCAACAATAAATACGAAATGGTGCCATTCCAGAAGACAGGAGTTCTGCATTCTGCAGACACTGGGTCAGGAAGCCACCGATACTTCAGAAGGAATATAGAAAGTCAATACAAGTTCAAGGTTACAGTATAAGCTATAAACAACACACAAATTGCATGTGGAAACTGTCCACCGGAAGCCCACCGCGATGAACGAGAGCTGCTTTGATGCAAACCACATTCGTTTAATGGAGGGCTTACGCAGGAAGAAGTATGCAGCGTACAACCCTCTCCATTTAAAACACATTCTGTATAGACAAGAAACAGTGAAGCCGAGAAGAAAGAAAACAGGGCAAGAAGTTCTCCCCAAGGGGAGACAGAGGGAGTGTTAAGACAGTACCCAGAGGAGGGCAGCTGAATTGACAGAACTGAGATCCTGTCTCACTAGTCAACAGTGAAAGCTGTGTAGAAGAACAGTTCCTGAATTAAAGTAGCTGAACATGGTTCAGATTATTGGATACATCTATAAGCACAATGCTTTGCAGGAGCATTTACTGTATACCAAAATCCTACTTCTTGCAACACACGGTGTTGCACGAGTAGTGAAAAATGTTTTCCTATTCAAAAGGTGCTTGGATATTCTTTTCAGGCAGCATTTTATCATTATTTTTTTATATATGATCTCATTCAACGTGGTTTAAGAGAAGGAGAAGGAGAAGGAGAAGGAGAAGAAGAAGAAGAAGAAGAAGAAGAAGAAGAAGAAGAAGAAGAAGAGGTCTATTTAAATAGGTGGGTGGGGAAGAGAGAATATTGTTTACAATAAGAACCCAACTAATTGCCTATATGACTGTTTAGGATTTGAAATCTACAGGGTTTTTTCCCTCTCATTTAAATAAGGAATAAAATGTTGCCCAAAGTCTAAAATTATCTTTACACATTTGTGCGTGGTTTTTCCTTTTCCTTTTTTTTTTTAAAGTTAGATCTATAAATCAAAATAATTATCATAGTTAAAGATACAATTTGTATCAACAGTAAAAGGTAACTTTCTGGTTCTAGAGGGTCTTCAAGTTGCAGCTGTGCACCTGGTTTATCAGCAATAAGATGATAAACTAGAGCAGCCTTTGCAGATATGGTGCCTTGCAGATGTTTTGGACGTGCTGGCTGGGGCTGGAAGTACAAAACATCTGCAAGGAGCCAGGTTGCTGAAGGCTAAAGTAGGGAAACATCACATTAGGTCACTCTGCAGGGAATCCTAGTGTGTAAGATTACGCTCACTATGTATAAGTTACTGCCTGCAAGATCTAGTACTATTCTATCTATGCAAGATTACATTTTAGAAGAGCTAGCAGAACCCACGACTTAAAAACCAGAAATCTCCCTTACTAATACTAGAAGAGACGGTTCTGTCTGCTTCTAAATCTATGTTGTTTGCAGAAAGAGCCATGCCTGCACAATACAGCAGGCCAGACAAACTAACTTTGAGAACATCTACAGTATTTTACAAAAAGGATGGACTGTTCTCAGTTACAATGCTATATTATACTATAGTGCAGTTTATAAAAAAATGTTGCATATCGTCAACACAACATAAAACCTTCTCAGGCCAGCCTTGATAAATAGCATGAAAAATACACAGTATCTTATATACAAAAAAAAATTGCATTGAGAACAATTAGTTTCATTTAAAAACAGGTATGAAAAAACCCCACACATTTTGTCCAGTATACCTGCGCATTAATTAGAGGAGCAAGAGACACGACAAAAACAAATCTCTGTTTCTGACTCATGAAAGCGTGGGTAAGTTGCCTAAACTGATATATTGGTAGCCTAATTCTAGGCAGTGTGAGTCGGATGAGCGCAACATCTTCAAAATCTGCATCTAAGGCTTTTGCCTTCTACATAATAAATTAATCATGGCAGATTTCTCCATCAGTGATTGCTTTTGCGTGCACCAAAAATTAACAGTGATAAACAAATAATGTCACTTAAAACCAAAAACCAACAAAAAAGTGCCATACTATAAAGTACTAATAATAATACACTGTTACCCATTTCAACATTAAAACTGGTAACTCAAAACATTGTTTAAAAAAATAGTCAGTGCTGTAAAAGACCTTTGTTTTCTATAAATAAAATGATTATAGCAAAAAGATCACACAATAAAATAACTTAATTGCAATTTTTAAAAAGTTCATAATAAGCTTAGCTTGGGGAAAAAACCATTTGCTGGGTGCATAAAATCCTCTTTAGTTTTCTGCAGCTTTTTTTTTTTTAAGAAAACTTTTTTTGCACTCTGAAGGACAAAAACACCCATTAATTTAATAAACACGTAACGACGTTATAAAAAGTGCTGCATATTAAACCCCCCGATGCACCAAAGAAACCTATTAAGAGACCACAGATATAATAATATATTAAACTGGAAGGATTCTTATCCAGTCATGAAATATTCTTCAAAAATAAAAAATAAAATCCAAGTGACAATTTAAATTAAAACCTGTCCTTTCTAACGCACGGGGTTGCACATACAGATTCCATGGCACAGTTATTTCACATAAATGGATTACTATATAACCTCCTTGCTGAGAAGGAGATCACACGTGCTATTGTAGCAAACCTCCCTCAGCGTTACAGCTGAAACGGAACTATTAAGACACCACAAAGATGCATCTTCCTCATGTCCTCAATAACCGAGCTGAGATTTCTCCACCAAAATGGCGGCAGCGAGTTGCTGAGCGTCCGTCATGTGAGGGTTCCTCTTCATGACGATCCTCACAAGGTCGGGAGGGAAAATGTTGCACAGGTTGATGTAGACCTTCTCTCGGTTGTCCTGGTACCGCGGCGGGTCCGGGGGGATCCCGCAGTAAGGGATCCGCCAAGGCTGATCCTGCTGCTCAGGCAAGCTTTGGAAGGCAAACTGCTCATAACACGGCTGGCTGGGGTTGCTGGGCAAGGAGTAAGTTTGGCGGTAGCCGTACGCGTCGACCCCGTAGCCTTGCCTGTCCCAGCTGCCGAGTCCGTCCTGGCCGGAGTACGTTTTCCGTTGCCTCAGCGGGGAATTATCGTACAGACGCGAGTCCGAGATGCTGTCTACTCGGGTGGACACGAGGGCTCTCCCCAGGTGCCTGCCCTTGGAGCGGGGCGAGCTCTGGGGAGCCGGGTAATCGCCGGGGCAGCTGGACCGAGCGCCGACGGCGGGATGCTGGAGGTGGACCGCCATGTAGGGAAGCGGAGATTTGTGGTGGTGCTTTGGTTCTTCGTGACTGTAGCTCTGCACCCTGGTCAGCGTCTCGTGGTAGCCCTGCAGGAAGGGCTGCGAGCTCAGGTGGCCGTGGGGGTGCATGTGCTGGCACTTCAAGTTCTCTTCCAGCTGGGGGTCGGGAGAGCTCATGTAGGACCGGTCGCTGTAGCCCATGTAGGAATCGCTACTGCCGCAGCTGGTGCTCCCTTCGCTGCTGCAGTCGGAAGCTACCGAGCTAATCCTGTAGTCGGTGTCCAAAGAGAAACGCCTTTCGGGACTTCGCGGGCCAGAGATGCTTAGGTTGGAGTATGCGTTCAGCATGGAGTAGTAGCTGGCGTCCACAGGGGAGTCACATTTGGGATACTGCTCGTAAGGCATTGGCGTTCCGTGGTTTTTGGTTGCCATCAACACTGGAGGATACGGCCCCTGCGCTCTTTGATCCTGAGGTGAGAAATGAACTCCGGAGGGAAGGCCGTTGCTCAAAGGTGCAAGACTTTGGGGTTTTGCAGCAGCAGAGTTCGGTATACTAACTAGGGAAGGTACAGACCTGGTTTCCAACTTGTTTTTGGTGGGAAGCTTTTCCTCCAAGTCTTGGTAGACCTGAGTCCTTATGCTAGGATCCGACTGCCTCTTTGGAGTGGCTCGCTTGAGATCCGAAGTGCTATCTATCTTAGTGCTGCAAGGGACGCTGTTGCTCTTCACCAGACCTCCTTCGCTAGCAGCTTTGACAGCTGTGCTCCTGGACATGGCGCGAAGCTCGTCCGCTACTGACCTCTGAGGCTGATTTCCTCTTTCCGGGTGGTAGTATTTGCATTTGTGTCCATAAGTGCATTTCTTCCCTGCAAATTTGTCGTTTGGAGATTTAAGTGAGTGGGGGGGGGGGGGGAGAGAAAGAGATAATGTGATTCTACACCAGCATGAAGACAAAAGGGACTGAAAATAACACTGAATCACAGGTCAAGGATGCTTTCAGGATAGTTAAATGTTCTACAGTTAGATAAGATGTGGCATCAGTAATACCAGCTGAACACAGAGTGTGTGTGTGTTTATACACACATGTATACAATTTCGCAGCAGCACCATAAAGCATATGCTGGTCTGTTTGCTGTTTATTATTATTCTGATTTCTAACTATGTAGCCACTATACTGCAGGCTACTATTATTCCCATTTTCAAAATGAGGAACCCATGCTGTCTTGATCAGGCAGGGATTTAAATTTAGGTCTGGGGAAGATTATACGCTCATGATCACAATGGTTTTGTGAACCACAGTTCCAGAAATATGCGTTCCAACTCTGGGAATGTCTTTCAACAAAGCCAACAGGACAAGAACCTATTATTGAAAGGAAGTTGTAACAAAATTCTGCAGCAACGTTTTACAAAGACACGTTTTACACAGACCCAAACAAGCAATCGGGCCTTGTTTCTTAGAATATAATTAGTGTTTAGTAAGGGAAAAAAGGTTACCATATGGACATGGTTGCTTCTTATGTTCTGGTACAATAGGTTTCTTCCTCAGAAAATTATCCAGGCTTGGGCCATGGCGGCCAAGGGGGTCATCAGGAGGCATAAATCTATCAAGATATATACATATTTAATAATTAAATGAACAAGGCATTCAGTAACCCACATTCTCGGTCTTAACATCTGAAAAGAATACCACTTTCTATTTCTAAATAGGATATTAAGTATTCCCAGATTATTTCAGATGCATTCCATATATTGTTCTGGAAAACAAAACAGCCTTGTAAACTAAAGCTGCAATCCTAACTCAATTTACCCGGGAGTAAGCCACACTAAACTCAATAGGACTTATTTCTGGGTAGACATGATTAAGACTATGTTTTAAGACTGAAACTCTAGCCTCACTCAATTAATTCACAAAGCCAGGCTACTCTAGCTGCTAGCGTCATAGCATTACATATTTCCCCCTTAAACTCGGCTCCAGCTTGTGGATCTCTACGCAGAAGACTTTTCAAACCAAATGTCAAGGTTAGCAGTTTACTTAAAAAACCTAACCAGTCAGCACTATTTAGAAATCTTTAAAACAGAGGAAGCAGTACTTGAGTCGAATGTCATAGCAACCTAAATTCATGAAGCCTCAGAAGGAGAAAAGGTCTCATCAGTTCGAGAAATTGTTTTTCAAGACAGCCTTTGCTAACTTGGTGCAGTCCACATTTTTTGGTCTGGAGGGCGAGGCTGGCAAAGGGTGTTCTAAAACATTGATCCTATCTTTGTTTTTAGAAGCAGCCATGAACATAGAGTCATAAAACTAACATTTACACTGTAGACCCATTGAAATTAATGGACTAGTGTAGTTAAAAGGTAAAGGTAAAGGTACCCCTGCCCGTACGGGCCAGTCTTGCCAGACTCTAGGGTTGTGCGCCCATCTCACTCAAGAGGCCGGGGGCCAGCGCTGTCCGCAGACACTTCCGGGTCACGTGGCCAGCGTGACAAGCTGCATCTGGCGAGCCAGCGCAGCACACGGAACACCGTTTACCTTCCCGCTAGTAAGCGGTCCCTATTTATCTACTTGCACCCGGGGGGTGCTTTCGAACTGCTAGGTTGGCAGGCGCTGGGACCGAGCAACGGGAGCGCACCCCGCCGCGGGGATTCGAACCGCCGACCTTTCGATCGGCAAGCCCTAGGCGCTGAGGCTTTTACCCACAGCGCCACCCGCGTCCCCACTTGCTCATACCACAGTAAAGAAGTGATTTTTCTTGGAATAGGTGAAGAAAGAGTACAATAGAGCTATAAATCTATATGTAGCCACAGGAATTTTCAGTGGGGCAGGGGGTCTCATCAATGCTCTGCATGAAAGGAGAGCAGGCTGCATTTTTATTACAGTGGTGCCTCGCAAGACGAAAAGAATCCGTTCCGCGATTCTCTTCGTCTAGCGGTTTTTTCGTCTTGCGAAGCAACCCTATTAGCGGCTTAGCGGCTATTAAAGGCTTAGCAGCTTAGCTGCTAAAAGGCTATTAGCGGCTTAGCGGCTTAGAAAAGGGGGGGAGCGGGGAAAAAATCGCAAGACTAGCAAGACATTTCGTCTTGCGAAGCAACTCAAAAACGGAAAACCCTTTCGTCTAGCGGGTTTTCCATCTTGTGAGGCATTCGTCTTGCGGGGCACCACTGTATTGCAAAAAGCTGACCACCACCAAAGCACAAGATCTTGCATGTGCAGCAATGTTACCAGGTGTGCATGTATGCCTATAAATCCAGTATAAGCTCCAAGTCCTGAGGCCAATTATTTTCCAGCAAGATTTTTTTTAATAAAAAAACTACAACTTACTTGTCATTGACAAATGAATACATCAGCAGCCGTTCATCAATGAACTTCTTCCATTCTGGCTTTTCATTTGCAAGATCCCTGTAGTTATCGTTTGACACAATTATGCCATCCGACTCAAAGGCCAACTTCACTATGAACCGGTCGTCATAGCACACCACCCTTCTCCCCTGAACACGGCGGGATGGGGTGAACACCAAAATTTTCTCTTTCTCTAATTTACGCAGGATTTCTTGGTCTAGTTATAGTAAAGGGGGGAAAGCAGAGCACTGAGGTCAATGCCTTATTCGGCCTACAACTGAGCTCTGTTACAAGAGAGCAGATGTTCAGAGAAGAATGACTTAACAAAAGCACTTCTGAGTCTGCTGGAAGAAGATGACTAATATTCAGCAGCACATTAAAAATATATAAACATAAATTACATTTGCCAGGATCTACAGTCATGCTTACACTTAGGAGCAAGGAATACTGAAGTTAATTCTAGTAACACATATTAAACAGGGGTTCTTGATTTCAAAGATACTTAACAGAAGAACAGAAAAAAGTTTCCCATTTAAAATATAATTAAGCACAAGCTATGTTTTTAAAACATTTAATTAAGCACAAGCTATGTTTTTAAAACATTTAATTAAGCACAAGCTATGTTTTTAAACCAAATGTCTATCAAAATCAGGATTTCAGCATCTTCCCTCTCCCAATGATACAATCTTCCCAGAAAAATGCATGCTAAAGAAGCTTTGCTCACCTTGTGTATACTGAGTGTTAAAGGGAGGAGTCTAAAATTTATTGGCATTATGTGCATACCCTTTTCCAAGGATTTATGATTATAATAATAATAATAATAATAATAATTTATTATTTGTACCCCGCCCATCTGGCTGGGTTTCCCCAGCCACTCTGGGCGGCTTCCATAGAAACCAAAAAACACTAAAATATCATACATTAAAAACTTCCCTGAACAGGGCTGCCTTAAGATGTCTTCTGAATGTCAGGTAGTTGTTTATCGTTTTGACATCTGATGGGAGGGCGTTCCACAGGGCGGGCGCCACTACCGAAAAGGCCCTCTGCCTGGTTCCCTGTAGCTTTGCTTCTCGCAACGAGGGAACCGCCAGAAGGCCCTCGGCGCTGGACCTCAGCGTCCGGGCAGAACGTTGGGGGTAGAGACGCTCCTTCAGGATAATCATGATTTAATGAAACTCAATTACAAGAAACAGAATAGAATCCTAGGCCTAGAATATAAGGCTTTTCATTAAAACTTTGGAAGCAAACTGAAAATAAGATGGCCCAACCCTGAAAAATGTTCAAAAGGACTTGGACAAGGTTTCAGTGCAAGGGCCTTACATAATTAACAAGCAGCTTTTGAGAGGCTCTACAACCCTGCACAGACTCATTCATATGAATTTTTCTCTGTACAAGCAATATGTTACAACCATAAGGAGAATGAATTATTGGCCACTTTACATGTTTATTTATTAGTCTCACAGTACTTTAGCGGGGAGGCAAATCGCAGGATCAGAAGCAAGATATTATTTCATATGGTGTCTGGATTATAACTCACAGCTCTATGGCAAAATGTATGAGGCCAGCCTGATGTGTATTCCATGCTAAATACTGTGCACTCTGGAGTCCCACAGCGTTGCACTCAACTTTTACTCAGAGCAGACTCACTGAAATTAATGGATAGTCTACTCTGAGTAAAAGCTGGTTGACCAGCAACCCTTTTCAAATCAAGCTGTTGAAGGCAGAGCAAAGTATACCTGTGATGAGAGCATCCGGTCGGGACTGTTCCTTCCTCCACGCTGGCACAAACACCGTGACATCTTTGTGGCCTCTTTCCAAAAACCAGTCCACCGCCAGTTTGATCCCCCGACAAGAGAATACTTCTTTGTTTCCATGGCTGAAATAAACATCCCCAAAATCACCGTCCTCCTGTATTACAATCTTCACTTTTTCCATATGAATATGAATGGAATATACCAAATACACTGGATTATTATGTTTGTTTTATTAATTTACGAATTGCCTTTTGCTTAAGTCCCAAGGGGATTTGCAATCGTACAATAACACCAGCTAAAAATAGGTTTAAGAACTGTATAAATAACCAGCCAAGGCATAGAACGTCCAGATGGAAAAGCCTGATGAAACAAAAATGTTTCCAGTTGCTTCTGGAAACTATAAACAGCGGCTGCGTTTTGTATCTGTTGGAAGAAAGCAGGGGCAGCCACAATGCAGGTCCTGCTCCAAGATGCTGTGGAGGACTCTCCTGCCAAAAGCAGTGACCTCCTGGATACTTAAAGGATAAGGTGGGTCTCTCAAGTAACCCAGCCACAAGCTGTATCGAACCTGTACAAGACAGCTGAATGGCTTGTAAACAATAAGTAGTGTACATACTGCACAGCCAATAATATTAACCTGTAACAACTGGCCTTTTCATTTCAAAGTACCTGGAAAATGTGTCTCCCCAAAAAGCAGCTCAATTATCTAATAAAGACTATGCTGCTTACACAACAGATACTAAAGTTCTGAATGTCAGCGTATGCAGAGCCCAAGTCACCTTGACTAGCCACAAATATCTGAAAATGGGACACGTTTACCTCTCATGTTAAACCAGAAACATGAAGCCTATTTCACACCAGCTGGTGACAACTCAGAAAGAGAGCAAACCAAGCCACACACACGCGACAGTGCACATGAGTTTGGGAGTTCCTCTCACACACAGCTGCACCAACTTGGAATTAAAACAGAAAGCAGGGAGTCCGGCGGCGGTCAGGAACATACATATGCTTGCAGAACAAACTATATTTATTAGAATCCAATAAATTTTATTTTGATCTTATGTCCTCAACATTCAAATCTGAAAAGATGACATCTGAGTGTTGCACAAAGTTACATTTACCTCACGGTACAGCCATAGCTTTTGTGAACTGCAGCCAAGACCTGCAATTACCAAGGTGACGTGGTCGGTGGCACCTCTCACAGAAAGGGCAGAAATGCTACCCCTGCAACAGTTTTATCAGGATATTCCTCTATGATCACATATTTCAATATGGCTAAAATCTGGTTTGGATACTTCCAAGCGACTATGCAAGTTTGTCCTAATAAAACCTGGGGTACAGCTATATTAGAGCCATTTATAAGTGGGTTATGGGTTGCCCAGTTGCAAACTTGGGAGAATACTGTGCCCTTGGGGGAAAAAATGTCTTGCTAGTATGAAAGAGAGCCAGGGCAGTGTAGTGGTTAGAGTGGGACCTGCCAAACCAGCGTTTGAATCCTCACTTGGCCACCAAGCTCACAGGGTGACCTTGGGCCAGTCACTGCCTCTCAGCCTAACCTAGCTCATAGGGCTGATGCAAGGATAAAAACAGGGAGGAGAACAATGTGTATCACCTTGAGCTCCTTGGAGGAAAGATGGGGTAGAAATGTGATTAATAGTAAATAAATGAATACTAACATCTTGGTGGTCTTTTTTCCAGAGCCAGCTCATTGGCAGTTCATATCCCAACAGGATAATTCCTCAGTTCCAAAATATTTGCAAGAGTCTTTCCGTGACCCGGCTGCCATCTTTCACCTCCCTCAAGGAAGAGTGTGGCTTTCCCCTCAGCACCAGAAGTCAAGGAGCAGGCCTTAACAAGTTGAGAGAAAGGGCTGCAGCTCACGGGTACAGAACACACATTGAATGAGGAAAGGCCCAGGTCCGTGGCTCCAGACAGGGCTTGGAGACTGAAATATACTTGGAGTCGAGAGTTCTGAATCCTATTGTTCTAGGACCAATCAGACTGCTGCATTTTGGATCCTATTCAACTCAGTGCATAACAGAGTCTCTCGTCTGAAATCCAGTAGAACCATTGCCAGCCAATATTGAGCTAGATGCAGAAATAGTCCCTGTGTTACCACAAAAATAGTAAAGGTGGCATTTTCAAGAGTTGCTTATATGTCTTTGACAGCTCAAAGAGCAAATAATGGAATATATACTACCTGTGCATGTTTCTGAGAGAAGACTCGCATACCTCAGAACAGCTCCTCTTTGAAGCAGGTGTGCACTTCACAACTCCAATATTTCATATACTTCTTCAGAAACAGCCATGCTTACCAGAAGCACACTTCTATCCTTGGAAAGTGAATGTGAGGAGCATCCTTGCAAACAGCGGTTCTTACGGATTTTGGCGTTTTGGAAAAAATAGCAGGATGTAATACACAGAATTCCTTGTTAAGACAACATTCAGCCAGTATATGGAAGACAATCTTACTCGGCTACGAGTGATCGCCGAAGAAGAAGAAGAAGAAGAAGAAGAAGAAGAAGAAGAAGAAGGTGGCATAAGCGCTCTGTTCCCTTACAAAGTATTTACTCAGGCTTCAGTTAATTTCTTCTTTCTAGTTTAATGACACATTAGTTTAAATGATCTCTCTTTCACAATGTCAAATCTTAGTGCTTCTTAATCCAGGAATACCCTGTTGAATTTCATATTGGTTTTTTCTGACTAGCACTTTCTCCTTAATGCATAACTGTTGAAGTCACTTCCCAGTCCACACATACAAATTCTGAAATCAGGAAGAGCGGCAGGACTGAGTTCCTTGATGTGGGGGCCACACATCATTAGAAAAAGTCAGAAGTATATAAAAAGTTATTTATCAAGACAACACCAACAATACATTCCCAAAAGCAACCATGCTTTAAGTTTGGAAACATCTTTAGTGTATACAGAACAGGGATGTTGTTTTACTCCCTTTGTAAGTTTATTCCTTTCAACCAACATATCAGAAAAGAGAACTCAGCAAGCCAATTGCTAATAACTGCTAGCAGGGTATCTCAAATGTTATTCATGCTACCCTGGCTCTTCAAAAGGAAACTTCCCATTAAAATTAGGGGATCAGAAAAAAGCTGGGATGTGTGCTAACTTTAAAGCACCCATCCAAAGTAGTTAGAAAGGTACAGCTTAAAATCCTAAAAGATCTGTTCTGAAATGCAGTCTATGATCATCCCAATATGTGCTAATATATGTCTACTTTATATTGACCATAAAGTTCTCATTTGGGAGGAGTTCAAGCAATATCAACTATGCAAGACTTCGGCAAACTCCAAAGAATAAGGGATCAAGGTGGCTTTTTTATCATTTGAAGCGGAAGTTTTATTTTCATGGAATCATCAGATAGTTCTGTGCTAGAATACATGAAGCAACTATATCATTTGCACACCAGAGAAGCCTACCAATTACTCCATTCCCATTGGCAAACACCAATAATTTATTACAAAAAAACTTTATTCAGATCCACTATTTTTTGGATTTTCACTTTGCTGTGCATTTTCTTTTGGGTTTTATAGTTGCTTCAGGTTTAAAGGCGCTGATTTGATTTCTATGGTAATTATAAAGGGTGTTATTCCACTTTACTCAGGGTACACCCACTGAATTTAATGGACCTAACTTAGTCACGTTCATTAATTTCAATGGGTTTACTCTTGAGTAAAATTTAGTTGACTACCACCCGAATTAATTCTAAACCCTTCTTAAAAATGCTTCATTGTAACACCTATGGAACCAAAACCATTCCTTCAGAAAACATAGGGCATAACCCAAAACAAAGTCCACATACTTTGAAAGGAATGCACTATTCCTGTAAAGGCTGCATAGTGAGTTTTGGTCCTACGTTTCCTTTTTAAAACCCGCTACTTAGTTCTAGCTTTCATAAAGTACAAAACCTAATCTGATCGATACATTATTATGACTGTAAAACAGTGGTTGTCTAAGGACATGAGGAGCCACACCGGTGTGGCAGGAAGATTCATGGACAACCAAAGAAACGTTTGAACATTTCAGTGTAGTAAAGGTAAAGGTAAAGGGACCCCTGACCATTAGGTCCAGTCGTGGCCGACTCTGGGGTTGCGGCACTCATCTCGCTTTATTGGCCGAGGGAGTCGGCATACAGCTTCCGGGTCATGTGGCCAGCATGACTAAGCCGCTTCTGGTGAACCAGAGCAGTGCACGGAAACTCCATTTACCTTCCCGCCAGAGCAGTACCTATTTATCTACTTGCACTTTGATGTGCTTTCGAACTGCTAGGTTGGCAGGAGCAGGGACCAAGCATTGGGAGCTCACCCTGTCGCGGGGATTCGAACCACCGACCTTCCGATCAGCAAGTCCTAGGCTCTGTGGTTTAACCCACAGCGCCACCCGCGTCCCTATTTCAGTGTAGTACTGTATTACCAACATGTTTTTTTTTTATTTGCAGACTTTTCAAAATGACAGCAAAAGCATCAAGCGATATTGAGGACAATCCTAGCTGTGATCCAGAATCATCTTTCAACAGAGTGCTGGAGAATATCTTGACTATTCTTCTACAGTTCTCCATGCCATGTTGTTGTGAACAAGGATTTTCAACTCTTGACAAATATGAAAGATCAGAGAAGAGAAAGGCTCCTCTGTGTTGATGAGGTGAATTTGTTTGTTTCAAATTAGGCCTAATATAAATGAGATTACCTGGCAAAAGCAAGCTCACGCCTCTCATTTGAGTTTGTGTGCATACTTAAGGGACACAAGAGGCTTGTTTATAATTTTATTTTTGGAATGAATATTGTAGCTGCATTGTTTTATACTTTCTAGATCACATTATAAAGCAGTTGTGTTCTATGTTACCAATCAAGCACTGCAAGGAATTGTTTCTTTTTTGTTTTCCAGTGTATTTCTTATCAATAAGAAATTTGGTGTGGGGCGAGCATATTGTTATGCTGAAAGCGCGGCTCAGAGGGAGAAGTTTGAGAATCACTGCTGAGAAGCCTTGCTGGCTTAGAGCTGGAACTGAAGTCAAGGCTCTTGCAAAAATCACATGGGTGATGAGTCACCCTCGTTCTTTGTATCCAGCAAAATGCACAATTACTTTGAATTCATGCAATTAAGTGTCAGTCATCTGCAGCTGTAAAGAGAAAGTATACCTGAACGGCGAGCAGCTTAGCTCTGAAATATATTGCCACTGATTTTATAACTGTGTTTCCCCCATGACTTGTACCTATGAGATGTTATGGCAAATTCACGATTATTTGGGCGGGGGGCGGGGAGTTATTCTTTTGGCAGCAATGGGAACAAAAGGCCCTTCTCTGTACCCTGAGCTAGGAAAACAAATGTCATGGGGATGTAAAAGTCGATTACTTTAGCCACCAGCAGCTTCTTGGAAATGGGAACATGTCACTTGACATAATTGGATGTACTTTTAAAAACAAGCTTAGCGTGGTTCAGTACTCCGGAGGCAGCTATAAGGTCAGCTCAACGAAAGCCTGATTCCATTAAAGGCAGTGGGGAGTCTGCAATTACCTTCACTAGGATCTTAAGATCAGTTCTTTATCCTTACTACAGGGCTTACTAAAAAAATAATTTGGTTGTATCAGCTTCAGCATTCCGGCTAAATGTCAACTATATAATTACATTCAATTCACATAAAATTGTCCTTTTAGCAGATAAGAGATACTGGGTTATATTCGGGAGTGGTTCTGCATGTTGGAGTACCCAATTTATGCCAATTCTCCTCAACTAGTTAAGCTCCCCTCCCAAGGCTGTTTCGGGGGTGGGGGTAGAATGCCAAACAGCTTTCCCCAACATGCTGCCCTCAGATGTTTTAGTTTACAGCTTCCATCAGTCTTGGCTCCAGTATGGCTGATCGTCAGATAAGGGAGATTGTAATCCAGGCATCTGAAAAGGACCAAGTTGGAAAAGGATACTCCAGAACATAGGAGGGTCACAGTGGAGAGTTACAGCAGGTAGGTGGGAGCGGCGAAAACTGGGTGCCCCAACTTGCCAAAGCACTTTCCATCTGGGCAAATCCACCAGTGGATGCCATCCAATATTTCATTAGTGGTTCTTTGAGTCGTTCCAATAAAATAAGACGCAGGCTAGATCAATTTGGTGGTGGTGGGGGGAGTGAAGTTTTCTAGTTATATATAGTACGTAGCTTTCCGGAAAGAGTGTCAATTAACATTCTGCTTCATCTACCAGATCCTGGAATTCCTTAGGGAACTGTGCATAGTCAAGGTTGCCATGCTACAGGGTGAAGAAACCTGAATTAAGCACCACAGGTGCTGGGGGGAACGACATATATGAAACCAGGAGTTGGTGTCTGAACATTTGGATTCTAAAACACAATACGCTTCTGCATAATGTCTATATCTACCAGTGTATTATGGGACAAAATTACTATGAGAAGAGCTGTAGGCCAATATACCTGCTTGGGAAGGGTAGATGGAGATAAATCTCCAAGTTTCCTAAGCTGTCCTGCTTTCCTAACCTCTTGATGTTCCTTCAGTGTGAGACTTGCAGCTGCTGACCTGACCTCACTGCCTCTTTTCCTTCATGCCTCCCTCAAGACAGAAGACACTCTCAAATCTCTCTTCATCTGAGCTGCAAAAGCAAGCATAGCTCAAGCCATCTCCACCTTAGTTACAAGGAACTGGCGATGTTTCCTATCAACCACATATTTGCCAGTAATAAATGTAGCTTTCCCATTTTATCAAGTCAGAATCTCAGTTTGATTGTCAAGCATGCTCTTCCTACAGGAAGTCTGCACCAAACTCATCTCTGCTGAGCTTTTAAATGCCAAGTAACATCCAAGAAGAATATGGAAACAGTCACAAGCGATTAGTTCAGTACAGTCTAATATAATACTTTGAATACATAATATGTCATAAAAACAGACTGGGGACACTTTTGTGATGTATAAATTGGATCTGCTATATTCATCTATCATCCTATCATCGTATTTCCTGACATTTCACATTCTGTTTTGCACATCCCAATAGTGGTATAAGGAGCTTTGTTGAGCCAACATGGTTAGCTCAATATTTATACGTGCGCACGTACATTTTCCCTTCTGTATTCGCCCTTGCAGTACTGTTAAAAAGGTAAACGGACCCCTGACCATTAGGTCCAGTCGTGGCCGACTCTGGGGTTGCGGTGCTCATCTCACTTTATTGGCCGAGGGAGCCGGCGTACAGCTTCCAGGTCATGTGGCCAGCATGACTAAGCCGCTTCTGGCGAACCAGAGCAGCGCACGGAAACGCCATTTACCTTCCCACTGGAGTGGTACCTATTTATCTACTTGCACTTTGAGTGCTTTCAAACTGCTGGCTTGGCAGGAGTAGGGACCGAGCAACGGGAGCTCACCCCGCCGCGGGGATTCGAACCGCCAACCTTCTGATCGGCAAGTCCAAGGCTCTGTGGTTTAACCCACAGCGCCACCCGCGTCCCTACTGAATATCTGCCATTACTTTGGATAATCTTGTGCATGCAAAGAATCTTAGTTCGGTTTCCATTCTATTAAATTTCTGCTCTCCCTGTTCAAATACAGAAAACCCCACACGGAACGTGAGACAGGTCTGCTGAATCAAGCAAATGGCCCATCTTCCTCAGCATCCTGTTCTCAGAGGGGCCAACCAGCTGCCTGTGGGAAGTCTGCAAAGCTGGACATGAGTGAAACGGCCCTACACCCAACTGCAATTTCCAAACTTGTATTAAGAGACATATTGCCTCAGACGGTGGAGGCAGAACATAGCCATTGTGGCTAGTAAATGTTGATAGCGGATAGCACTGCCCTCTTTGAATTTGCCTAAAAGTAAAGGTAAAGGTACCCCTGCCCGTACGGGCCAGTCTTGACAGACTCTAGGGTTGTGCGCCCATCTCACTCAAGAGGCCGGGGGCCAGCGCTGTCCGGAGACACTTCCGGGTCACGTGGCCAGCGTGACATCGCTGCTCTGGCGAGCCAGAGCCGCACACGGAAACGCCGTTTACCTTCCCGCTAGTAAGCGGTCCCCTATTTATCTACTTGCACCCGGGGGTGCTTTCGAACTGCTAGGTTGGCAGGCGCTGGGACCGAGCAGCGGGAGTTCACCCCGCCGCGGGTATTAGAACTGCCGACCTTTCGATCGGCAAGCCCTAGGCGCTGAGGCTTTTACCCATAGTGCCACCCGCGTCCCTACTCCTCTTTTAAAGCATTTGAGTTCAGAGCTTAAGGTGCACTGTGTACAGAAGTACACAATTTTATCTGCCTTAAGTTGTCCAACAGTCAGCTTCATTGAATGCCCAAGAGTTCTAATGTTGAAACCAAGGGAATCTCTTCCTCAGTTCTGAATACACTTTTGCATGGAAAGGCAAAGAAAGCTCTCATGTACGGCTTTCCAACACAAGGGGGATTCAAAATAACCATCTCCGAGAGAATGCCTACTACTCTCTATAGTGAAATATAGCTTTCCTTATGCTTTCTCAAGCAGTATATATCTCCGGCCATTAACCATTCAGGCATTTTTCACAGTGCAACTCTATACATGTCCACCCAGAAGTAAGTTGCGCTGAATTAAATGGGGCCTGCTCCCAGGTAAGTGAGAAAATGATTGCAGTCTAAGTCTCGTGAATGTTTTAGAAGCCCTTGGTAGTTTAGGAGGTAGCTTCCCCCCCCCTAAATGTGTATAGGATTGAGTTTTATTGCTACTTTTGTGTTTTTGGACTAATCTTGTGTGATAACAGTAATGAAATTTTTATTTTTCCCTTCTACAGAATGTGTGTATGGTCTAAATGTTTGAGGATGTCTCCTGCGCACTGCTAATAGTATGCTTGACACCAAGCTTTTGTTTGCTACGGTGACACTGAAGTTGATGAAGGACTCAATAACCTCTCATATTTTTCAGCAAGTTTTATCGTTGGAATTTTAAACTCTTTTTAACAGGTTGTAGCTCAAGTTCATGAAGTAATGGTGCATATTGCGATTTAGCAATGTAAATGTTTGCTTACTATTCTGTTTGTTTCTTACTTGATGGGGGAACTATTTTGAGTAGATTATACTCTACCTATAGATAAAAGTAAAAAAGGCAAAGGACCCCTGGACGGTTAAGTTCAGTCAAAGGCGACTATGGGGTGTGGCGCTCATCTGGCTTTCAGGCTGAGGGAGCCGGTATTTGTCCACAGACAGCTTTCTGGGTCATGTGGCGAGCATGACTCAACCGCTTCTGGTGCAATGGAACACCGTGATGGAAGCCAGAGCGCATGGAAACACCATTTACCTTCCCGCCACAGTGGTACCTATTTATCTACTTGCACTAGTGTGCTTTCAAACTGCTAGGCTGGCAGTCTACCTATATGCAGGGGTAGCCAAAGCAGTGCAGATGTTGGAATCAGAGCTGGAAGAAGGGACCCGTGTTTGTCAGAGCACCAACTCCCATCAATCCCGGTTAGCATGGCTGATCGTCTGGGATGAGGGGAACTGTAATCCAACACCATTTGGAAAGCACCACATTGATTATCCCTGATCATGTAACGTCACGAGTAATAGAAGGGCAGTAATATGCTCACCTGTTACAACTCAAACCCCAAAAGACAACAGCTATCATTCCACTGTAACATACCTCATTGCCACATTGCTGCCATCAATAACTATAGGTCTGAGGTTATCACCATCCACTGGCACATCTTCCGGAAGCGGGGAGTCAGATCTCTGAGACTCAACAGAAGATGCTTCTCGCATTATGCTAGCGTTAATGTTACTTACACTCTGATCCGTCTCAGTTTTATTTCCAAGTTTGACAAGTTCTCCCAATATATCATTGATTAAAGCATCAGTACCAAGCTTATTCAGGACAAGTTGAACCTGTTCCTCAGAATAACCTAACTTAAGTGCAAACTCCAGTTTGGTTTGATACTCTTTCACCACGTCAGGAGGTTTCTTCAGTTCTTTAGACCCTATCTGAGCTTCCTCCAGCTTAAGGTCTTGCAAGATTTCATTGCGCTTTAATATATGCGGTTCTAAACAAGGAGACCTGCACAGCGGTCTGTGAGTCTTAGGTAAGAAGCATGATTCTGGTCCAATTATAGCTGGTCGTTCCAATTCATTATCGGAATTTGTGCCCTCCTCAGAATCACAACTGGAGCTTCCAGTTTCTTCAGAAGTCTCCTTGTTAGTATCCTCCTTCCTAGAGTTAACTTTATCCATGGTTGGTTTCTCTACCATTGACCAAGGTGCAATGGCACTTATTTGAGTCTCAGTGCTGTCCTCATAGAGGTGGCCTAGGTCATGCCTCAAGTGATCCTTCAAGCCCATGAAGCTGCTGCATGTACTTGGCTCCACTTTGTTGGTTTTCCTGTATTCCGGGATATAAAGTATCCTGTATTCCTAAAGAAGAAATAATAACGTTAGAACTAGGGATTTTCTTTCCATTTGGAACTTGTCTTAAGATTTAGATTTTTGCCTTCCTAAAGGGAGATTCAAATCACTCTCTTTTAATCACCTCCTGGTGAGATCTATTTGGAACTCAGCTCTGTGAAAGGTCCAATACATACTTGTATCACAGGCAAATATTAAATTGTCAAGGTTCCAAAATGAGTTTGGCCAAACTAGTGCTGGCCTTTGACCCTTGTAAAGGTTTTCGAGCAGATGTCAAGGCCCCAAGTCAATAAAGCTCTTTTGTTTCAACAATGAGACAGCTCAGTCATAATGTACTTTAAATCAAGAGGACTCAAAATCCTTACGACATATTACCAGTGAGACAGAATTTACTAAACATTTAGATTATTATAGTGCAGCATAAATGTCCAAATACATATTTATCGGCAAATATGAATTTTCAGTGCTTGTCTGAGTTATTATCAAGTCATATCAATTCCCGTCACACAGTTTTAACTGCCATTACAGGACTGCAAATATGTGACATTCAATGTTTACCACCATTCAGGTTAGGAGCTCTGGCACACTATATCACTCTCATCTATAAATAAGCTGGGAGTCTACCTCACCCATTTTTTCCTATTTAGCATTTTCTATAAACCTTCTGATATGGATGTGAATTATACCAATTTCCAGTGTCCGGCCAAGATTCTTAGGAGCCAAACCCAGGATGTTCATCAATTGTCTGCTCTTAGTTTTTATGGAGTGTTGAAGTTATTTCGAGCATTCATGCTATATTAACTGACAAGATCTAGACTATGGTGCAGGAGAAAACAAGAGGCAGAAGAGTAGAGCAGGCAAAAACTACAGGTGGAATATCAAGGATGCCAAGTGTTCACAAAATCCCAGAAGTCTGACGCCACAAAGCAAGGAAACAAGACATTTTACCTGTATTTTTTTAAAAAAAACCTTTGTTTGTTTTTAAGTAAGAATTCTAATACAAAAGCAGAACAATTACCACTGTCAGAAAAATACTGCCTTCCGCAGTAAGTCAACATTTGATGATTTAAACACACCAGGAAGTCTAAACCTGCAGCACTTCAAGCAGGGAATATTTGGGAATAAAGCTAAATCAGTGGTTAAGAAGGCTGCAATTCCAAGAGCTGCTGTGAAATCTTCATTTATTTTAGCAAGTAGTCAACAAAAGGCTTCAACTCTGTACACAAGATGGAACAGGACTGCAGACATTAAGACACCGTGCGCCCATCCCACCTGATACAACGGGTGGGATGTTTGAATACACAAGCATCTCTGCACACTGATTGCTTTAAAATGGGCCCTGTTTAAACGTATAATGCCATTTATGTGGCTGAACATTTAGATAAAAGAAATGCTTTAAAGACATCTGTCTCAATCCGGAAATGGCAATAAGTGCAAAGGAAGTTTGGACTTGGTGAATACTCTTCCAGATGAAGTCCCATGTGCTGTGTGGAGAAAATCCTTGTAACCAGAGCTTTTGGATATGTGCAATATATATTATATATTATAGATTTGTGTGTGTGTGTGTGTGTGTGTGTGTGTGTGTATTAGTGTGAGTGAGTGAGAGAGCAAGGGCAACAGTACTTATTCCAAGAACTCCCTCTCTCCTCAACAGGTGACTAACACTTCCGTGCTTGATAGTACCCTGCCATCTGTTTGGTACAGGAAATCTTCACATACAACAGCCTGTGGATTGAGGCCAATAATAGAGAAGAAATATATTTTTATTATCATAACACAAAGTTAGGAAATTGCCTAAAATTGCTGCCTAAAAATGAGTTCCAAAGGATGACATATTTTAAAAGGTATAGCCCATCTTCTGAAAACTCAGGATAAGTAACAGTAATTTTTAAACCACCATACATTTCTGTCCCCAAAGGACTCACAATCTATGTAATTTAGAGGATTTTTTAAGGGGGGGGATCCAAACAGTTATAATTAAAATATTGATTTGGTTAAAGTTAACAAGATGCACAATTTGTTCTCATTCAGAATTCATTTTTACCCCCAATATTTCTTTGTCCCCTCTCCTCTCAAAGTCATAGGTGCTTCTCACTAGCTTTTAAAAATTAGTTCTAAAAGCTGCATCATGATGGTTAATAAAGCAAAGTTTTCCATCCTAAATATACAGTTTCTCATTTAAAAAGACAAAAGCATTTTTACTGTCCAATCTGTTTTAATCTTACAAAAATAACTTTCCCCCCCATTTTCTTGGAATTCTTAATTTTGTTTAATGGATGCACAACTGCAGTAATACCTGTTAAGAGGATATCAATGTTAGTAAGCCCTAACAGGCTTGATTTTATAAAAATAACGATCTCCATGTTCATTCAGTGCTGCAGTACAAATACATGGTGAATTCAGGAAGCTGAGCTGAACAACGTTGTGATTTACTAACTGCTGCAATTCACTCGTAGCCCCATCGCCACTAACAAATCACAACAGTATCCTAATGAAAGAATACAGTTCAAAACCCACACTTTGGCGGCCTTCATAAAACTACCACCAAAAAGTATCTTAAACAAGAAAAACCTATGGAAAGCTATGTTGCTTAGCAACCAGCCTTTCGTTGCTAGGATGCACTCCTTTAACAAGCCATCATGAATGCTAGCAGAGTGCAAGAATAATTTGGTATGAACAAAGCCTACAAAAAAAAGACGGGGACTTAAGTGCGTCTGGTATACCCTCGGAGAACAATGCAGCTGCCAAACCAATCTGGAAGCTCCGACATCATTGTTCCATAAACCCTGCAATCTGCTCTGACTGGAGGAAGTATATTTAATGGGCAACACTTTTAAGATTGGCTGGAAAAAAGTTTAGGTTGGCTCATGTATCGCAATAGTAATACACTGAGATAATGGCTCACTCGCCAAACCCATGCGCTGCAAAATGCTTCCTGGGCACTGAAAATAACATCACCTGGAAGCAACTACCATTGGTTTCCATTGCAACCCATTTAAGGTGTAAGCATTTTTCATCTGATCCAGAGTAAAGTCAGTTAAGAGATGCGGACCAGAAAAGTAAGCCTATTTTAGAAATAAACTTTCACTGGAATTTTCAGCGTTTCAGAAACTTTCTAAGACAATGTGAAATGGCTACTAAATGAGGAAAGAGCACGGCATTTACAAATTCAGCCATTGCATACAAGTCATATATCTCCACCCAGGCATTACAAAGAGGGCTTTTTATAATTAACGTGCAACTGTACGCTTAATATACCTCAAAGTCATACTAGTAACACATTTGACAACAGAACTAAGGAAATGTAATGGACAACATGCTTGTACTCAGACACTTCGGAACATTTTTTTGAGGAGATAAGTACTGATTAACAGCTAACAAACCAACACAAATAGAAAAGCATAGCATTTTATTCAGACATTAAGAACAACCCCTTTTTGTGCAGCAGAAGCCTGCACATGTTTACTCAGAAGTATGCTCCACTGATTTCAATGGGATTTACTAGGAAGTGCTAAGTATTATAGCCTTAAGGTAGTTATCTATTGAGAGTCCACTGCAAATAAAACTTAATGATGCCATGGCTTCTATTTCCCAAACACCAATCCCAATGGTACATCTCTATTCCACAGCTGTGTATTTTATCTCTTCCAAGAAATCTGCAGCTGTAACTTTACACAAGAAATTTGCAGCTGCACATCAATAAGATGTTAGTCTTTGGAAACAATTTCTGATGCATTCTGTGATATATATGTATGTACATTACCTCCAATGAAACCTTAAGTCACAAATGAATGTAGTGGCGTCAATTGCCCATATACTGAAAAGAGGGGGAGCACTTGTCCAGTCATGTCTTGAAAGTGGCCTTATTGGGATAAACTGAAATCCTGACTTGAATTCACAGGGATGTGCACTAAAATGATTACTTAAAATTTAAGCCCAGTTACCAGGTTTTATTTACATTTTTGCCTCTTGAGTCAAGAAAGGCAAGAGCTAATCAGTATGTTGGAAAGTAACAACATCAAGTAAGTTCATGGATATATGTGCCATAACTGCCTGGCTTGTCTATTGCTTTTCAGTAGTAAATGTTCCCACTAATCAACAACGCTAAGAATATTAGTATACTTTAAATGATATGTTTTGCTGGGGAAAGGAGGGATCGCTCAGGTTATGCATTATTAAAATAGCCAAGACATTGTAACAATGCAAATCAAAATAATAAATATGTAATAAATATCTGCTGCAGGACTTTATGTATTTAATTAGCATTGTATTTCAGAGAGTGATGCAGACAACAGCCCTCACTCTAACAAAGGAAGGATGTCCCGTTGAACAGATTGGTTAATGCTCTAGGGCAACAGATGTCTACTGGAACTGCAGGAGACCAGCAACTGGTGGCCTGCCCATCTTCTGAAAACTTTCAATAGACTTATGCATATGTTCACACAATAGGGCATTTGGTAGAAATGCAAACTCTTTTTAACCCTTTCAGGTGTCCCCTCCCAGAAAGATATCTCTCCCCCCCCCCTTAGAGGAACTCTGGCATTGGCTCAAAGATTAAAGTGTTAAAAATGTTCTTCAGCCTAGTATCTGAGCCCAAAATATAAAACAGGCTGAACAGCAAATCAAAACCACCAGAAAAAATCAACACACACACACACACACACACACACACACACTATATATATATATGACACTTACACATACTCTACATCCTCCCTGCACCTTCATGAAGCTGGACTAAATTCTTTGACCATAAAATAATTTATGTTGTCACATGAAGGTTAATTTAATTTATCACAAAACCATCCTTTCAACACAGGTAGCTGGTGTTCTTCCAGCTGCTCATTTTTACTAAGGATAGCATTTATCGAGTCAGCAAAATGCTACCAAAAAAATAATCAAATTCACTTCTAATGAATTTTTTTTATTGTCCATTAGCTATGTACTAGCTTCTGGCAATGTGTCACTCTTATTTCTCTTACATTTCTTCACTTGAATCAATGAGATTTAAAATAACACATTTTTTAAATGCCATTTTATTTTGAAGGGGGGGATTGCAGCTTTTACAGCTCCCCCCCCCAAAAAAAAAATCCCTTACACATATTGTGCTTCTTTTATTTAGGAACATACTGATGGGTCAAAAGGAGTAAAAGCGTTTAATCCCTGGCAAAGACAAGTCCCAATACTTACGTTAAGTGGAAAGTACAGAGATATTGAGGCGGGCAATTATTATTTTTTTTTGCAGCAGGTCCAGAAGCAACTCCTTAACACGATTTCAGCTGCAAACTTCCAGGCAGGCAAGCAGAACAATGAATGGTTGACCAGATGGAATAGCAATGTCTTTGCTTAACCTATTACCGAGCAGAACGGCGACCAATCGGAGGCCGGGAAAGGCTGACAATTAGTTGGCCAGGCAGATGCAAGGAAAAGCCTCCCCACCCTGCGTCAGGTTTGTAGGTTTCTAAGAGAAGCAAGTTGATGTCATTCTCAGGGTCTGCCCCGGGCAGCATGTGTATTAAGGAGGGGTGTGCAAGCAACAATAGGCCATACAAAAGAGACTAGCAGGCAGCTGCTGTATGAGAGCCAGAGTCATTAGGGAGCAAGCTGCCAACAAGAAACACCTGGCCTGGGCAGACTTCAGCTTTTCCTCATTGTTTCTAATTCACGAAACAAAGAAAGGGAATTATTTTTTATATAGTAAAAGTTGCAAGGTTCGACCAGAAGAGCTCAAAACAAAAAACGCAGCCCACGCCGATCATAAAGGACATTTCGCTTCTATTATTGGGGGCGGGGGAGGGGGAGCGCCACAGTACCCAGAACAGCGGCGCAATTATACCTGCATTCTTCTCCGGCTTAAAAAAGAAAAGAAAGTAAAAAAGTAAAAGTAAGATCAAACAGGCAGTGGGAAAAGCACTCAGAGTATTTATGTGCGGAATTGGTGTTCGGTTTCCTGAAGCATTTGTTTCTGTGGTTTCTTGAAAAACCTACATAACTGCAACGCACAAGGGGCTAGGTGCATCTGAGTAGCAATGGAACCAGGAGCTGACAAACGTGAAAACCAAGCGTCACTTTTTGCAGTCTCTATGTTGGGAAATTTCTAACAGCATGTGGAAATAAAGAAACATTCGAGGAGGGGGAGATAATACTACAGTGAGTTTGCTTAGTGGGCTTCATAATATTTAATGGGTTTTATCCAACAGTGTCTCCTCCAATTTGATCCAGTGGAGGTTTCAGGCAGTGGAAGGAGGAAAGAGGCAATTTTTTGCTTATTCCCTCTTCCCCTCACCACCTCCCATGGGTCCCCAAACCTTATGGAAAAGATGGAGGGCTTGCACAGGGGGCTGCGAGGAGAAGTGGGAATTTGCAAAAATTACCCCTGCCTTTGATGACAGAAGTACCGTTCGTAAATGGAAGGGCCACCGTTGGTTAAAATCCTCTCTGCCTGTAAGAGAAATAACAGTCAAAATTCAACATGCTGTTTTGATGTGACCATCTACTCGTTTTTGACATTCAGAACGTGTGAATGACAAGGGCAATGACAAGTACAGCAACTCCTTCAAGGGGAGTTTTGTTCTAAAGAACCTTGTAGTTTACCCTCCTGCATAGGACTTAAGAAGACACTATGCTACAGAGAGATGAATTCTGAAAATTGTAAATAACCTTTTGCTTATTCCTGCAGGCATAGGAGATCAACAGAAAAATGATTGGTGCTTAACTGAAAGATAAAATGATATTTTTTTTACTGTGAGGTCCGGTTCATTAAAATCAGTTAAATGTTAAATCATAAAAAATTCAAAATATGAATTATTGCATATACAATGCAATGTAATATATGCAACTCTTCCATTTCTTCACAGTTATAGATCTTAAACTTCAGAATCCATTCTCTAGGCACTGCTGTATGTACTCTCTCTGGTAGTAGTGGTGGCAGTGAACAAATTCACAACTAACTAACTAACTAACTAACCAACCAATATATTTTAAATGATCCAGGAAAAGAAAATCGCCCAGATCCTGAGACTGTCATTGCCTATTTTGAGGTTTTCAATCAGGAGCAGGAGTCCCCCTCTCTAATTTCTGCCACTATGGATACAAAGAATAAGAGAATACTACCTCAAACCACAGCAGGAAGCCTGGTCGCCAGCACTGGATTAAGCTTCTTTGCAAACAGCAAATAAAGGCAGTGATCTGAAAAAGCTAATCAGTCCCTGCTGTGGTATTTAGACTACCTCAGTTACTGGTATTGGATAATGTTAAGCGTATTAAAAACATCTGTAGGTGAAATAAGGGATCCCAGTCTGTTTTACCTAGCTGCAAAAACTTTGTCCTAGCAGAATCACTGTTCTGGTGTAGCTGTTTCTAGTTGCTTCTCATAGGGCTGCGCACCTCTCCATGTGTGCAGCGTGTGAACAACAGAACAGTTCAACAGTGCTCTTAGAAACTAAAGGAAATGTGTTTTGCACCTGAGAAAATGCAGCATATCCAGTTATTGGGAGGAATTCAATATCACGGTCTTTTGCTGGTTCCATTACTGCAAGCAATTCTGCTTCTTAGGGTATCACAGGGTTCTCGGGCTCATTGTTGTTCAACATCTTTACAAAAGACTTGGATGGAGGAATTGAGGGGATGCTCATCAAATTTGCAGATGACACCAACCAGGGAGGGGTAGCCAATGCCACAGAAGACAGAATCAGGATTCAAGATATCCTTAAGAGATTGGGCCAAAACTAACAAAATTTATTTCAGTGGGTACAAATGTAAGGTTCTACACTAAGGAAGGAAGAACCAGATGCACAAATATAAGATGGGGGCCACCTGGATTGCCAATGGTACATGTGAAAAGGATCTAGGGGCCTTAGTAGACAACAAGCTTAACATGGTTCAACAGTGTGGTGCAGCAGTAAAAGAAGCTAATGCTATTCTAGGCCGCATTCTATCTGCATTGTGTCCAGATAAAGGGAAGTAATAGTACCACTCTATTCTGCCTTGGTCAGACCACACCTTGAATACTGTGTCCAGTTCTGGGCACCACAATTTAAGAAGGATATTGACAAGCTGGAATGAGTGCAGAGGAGGGCAACCAAGATGATCAAGGGTCTGGAAACCAAGCCTTACGAGGAACAGATGAAGGAGCTGGGTATGTTTAGCTTGGAAAAGAGAAGACTGAGGAGAGATGTCATCTTCAAAAACTGAAGGTCTGTCACATGGAGGATGAAGCAAACTTGTTTTCTCTTGGACTTGGACCAATGGATTCAAGTTACAAGAAATGAGATTCCGACTAAACATCAGGAAGAACTTTCTGACAGTAAGAGCTGTTCAGCAGTGGAACAGTCTCCTTCGGGAGGTTGTGGACTCTCCTTTCTTGGGAGTTTTTAAGCAGAGGTTGGATGGCCATCTGTCATGCATGATCTAGCTGAGATCCCTGTATTGCAGAGGGTTGGACTAGATGACTTCCAGGGTCCCTTCCAATTCTATGAATTTGAGGGAGCTGTGGGTGCTTGGCGGGGGGCGGGGGGGGGGAAGCCCTACTGTGCTAGCAGAAGCTCTTACACTGCCCTCTGCTGGTGCACTGGGTCAGTTGAATCTGGGCCATTGTTATTCTTGTGCATATATTTTGTGGTGTTTAAATTTTTGAAAACCACCCTGGGAATTATATTCAAGGGGAGCGAGGGAAGAAGTATTTAAAATAACATAAAATTGATGAACTGCTTACTTTGGAGTGATGGAAAGGCTGACAGACAAGCATAGTGGTTAGACTGTCAAACTAGGACCAGCGAGAGTGGGTTCAAATCCTTGCTCAGCCCTGAATCACACTGGTGACCTTGGGTCCGTCACCATCTTCCAGTCTAACCTACCTCACAGGGTTGTTGTGAAGATAAAATGGGGAGGGGGGGAGAACCACCTTGAGCTCCTCGAAGGAAAGGCTTGTCATAAATATAATGAATAAATCTTGTCAACTGCAAAGACATCTGGGAGTATACTTTAAAAAATAAAATAAAATTAGATTGCATTTTTATATATATACACTACCTCTGGGAGTATACTTAAAGACTCAATGAAATATATTTACACACATTCATCCTTGTTCCGGAGACTAGGCTAACAGTATTGTATAGATTGAATACAAAGTTAATCATGCACAGAAATCATTCCTTTTACTATTATTCCACACGTGTGCATATCTGATTCATTGCATCTTACAGATTGGGCTCTAGACTACTGCATCTTAATGTGACAATAAATATATGCATAAATATATGCATCTTTAAGATGCCACAGGACTCTTGTAAACAGCATTTTGCAGAGATTATGTACCTTTTACAAAAATAAAATAAAATATAGCTTTATTTATTTATGCTTGATTTAAGTTACTGGAAATGTTTGTCATGCAACTCTAATAACTACTGGAGTGGTGGTGGTTCTAAAAGCACTTCAGTTACAGGATTCCAAATGCTTCATTCTAAAACAATCTATCCCTGAATATCCATTGTTCACAAGATTATTCTAGTGATGAGCTAGAATGACAAACAAACAGCAACTCAGGGTCTGTTTAAGGGCTCTTTAAAAGCCCAGAGAGACGAAGGCCCAGGAGATTTCACCCTCTGCCTTCCTGCCCATCCTACCCCAAGCAAATTTACTTTATGAGAGGCAGAAATGACTGGCTAGTAACAGCAGCTTTACAGACCAATTTTCTGCCTAGAACAGTAAACTTCTAACTTTTCAGACCCAGAACCCACTCTTAACCCAAACATGAATTTGGAGACCCACCTTGGATCAAGGCTGAAGATCAGTGACCTAACCCACTGTTGCCATACAGTGACTCTCATTAGTGTCTTTTGTGCCACAGGCTAATCAATTACCTTTTTAACTAAAGGTGGTGGGGACTGAACCTGGGACCGTATGCCTGCGAAGTATGCACCCTACCGCTAAGCTATGGTCCCTCTCCAATTCCCTGAACACAAGGCTGCACTGGAAACTGTATTTCCCATTCAGCAATGGACATGGTTGATCCTGCTCTGGTGACTGCTGGCCTTGATGGTGAGGCTTATAAGATCTCAGTCATGCCTCCAATTGCTTGTTCCACTCCCTTTGTCAATTAACTAAATGGTTGGATGGTATAAGCCAGGGGCGCCGACTTATAAAAAATATTGGGGGGCCCATACCGGGGTCCTGCCGCTGGTTCGCTCGGGTAGCCGGGAGAACGCAGTTCGAGGTGGCGGTGTTGGGGAGAGACCCTCGCTCAGGGCACCACTAGACTTGGCGGCCGGCGGCCTATCTGGGGGGTTTTGGAGCGTATTTCGGCGGAGCGATTGGGGAGGAGGGGGCTTGTTGCCGGATTCTTCAGCTGAGCCGGAGATCCGCTGCTGGGGGTCCCTGGGCCGAGTTGTGAGCATGGCCTGCTGAAGGGAGATCCAGCCGATTGCGCGACGGGGACGGCCGGGGCTCTCCGGCTAGGGCGCGCGGCTGGCTGGCTGGCGAGGGAGCAGGTGGGGAGGAGGCGGGGGTCCTCACTCTCTTAGGAAACGCACCCGCGCGCCCGATTGCCACGAAGTCCGAAGGGTGCGTGTGTGGAATTAAAAAGCAAAAACGAGATACGGGCAGGGCAGGCAAAGAGTTTTCTGCAAGAGGATGGAGGGCAGGTTGAAGAGAAAATCACTCAGGATGAGACAGTCAAATCAGCCATGATAAAATGGGCTCAGGATATTGGGTATAACATCATGTTTGAGGACTGGGAAAGGTTATGGACCACCGGAATGAAATTCACGGCATGTAATGCCTTGAAGGAAAATATTATGAAAATGATTTATAGGTGGTACATGACCCCAGTCAAGCTTGCAAAAATATATCACCTGTCTGATAATAAATGTTGGAAATGTAAGGAGGCTGAAGGGACATTCTTTCACCTCTGGTGGACTTGTCCAAAAGTGAAGGCCTTCTGGGAAATGATCTATAATGAGTTTAAAAAGGTATTTAAGTATACCTTTCCCAAGAAACCAGAGGCCTTCCTCTTGGGCATTGTTGGCCAGAAAGTGTTAAAGAAGGATAGAACTTTCTTTATGTATGCAACTACAGCAGCAAGAATACTTATCGCAAAATATTGGAAGACACAAGATTTGCCCACACTGGAAGAGTGGCAGACGCAATTGATGGACTACATGGAACTGGCTGAAATGACTGGCAGAATCCGAGATTTGGGAGAAGAAACAACGGAAGAGGACTGGAAAAAATTTAAGGACTATTTACAAAAACAATATAAGTTGTATGAATGTTAAAAATTTACACGATTCGGAAAC